AGTTTAAATGCACAAAGGTAAGCCATAAATACAGTTTCCACTATCAAAGTAGTCACACTTTGTTGATCCAAACACTGCTGATCTCTCTACACAAATGATGGGCAGATTAAACAGCTCATGCCGATGCTTCTCCCACACAACGGGTGTTTGGATCTAACTTCCGCGTTTATTGCTCGGACTGTATCGCAAGATCTCGAAAATCCCGCGCATGCTTGTTTGCGCACCTCAGGTCTCCGCACCGGAGCGGAGCCGTTGTAGAGCGGGTACCAGTAAAAATTGAGTTCGGAAGCGAGCGGCTGCGGAAGGCGGGGGCGGACCGGAGCAGAGCGGAGGTAGTGGAATTTAGGGGTAAGTCTCCTCCCTTTCCGGATGGCTCATGGGTCCCTGGAAGAACGAAAATATTAATGCAAGTCAACGGGGCAAAAAGAGTTAATTTCTAATCCGCTTTGCTTTATGCCCTGGATCTCACGTATGTTGTACTGCAATTTAAATGAAAAGTAATGATGGGTGTTTCGACCTCGCCAGTCGCATGCTTTTGAGATTTATCTACCTGTAAAGGTTTGTAATTGGCATGACTACAAATCAGACATCGGTACGTTGCATATATGACGTCACCACAGAATCTCCTCTCCCCTAGCGTAGCTGCTACTTACCACATGGCCAGATTTATGGTGGTTCTTTCCTCCTGAAGGAAGGATTTGACATTTGCTGAACTTCCAGCCCTTTTCCTTCTGTTTTTCTCCGTGTCTGGTTTGGTGACATCACTTTCATGATGCGCTTTTGTAGTCCAGAACTTATTTTCACACAAAACCTAAAATAACGTTTTCCACCATTTGAAAATAAGCACTTTCTTGGTATCAAAATGCATCTTTAAAATTCACGGATATCATATGTGAAATCCATGGCACATAATTAGTGGAATTAGAATTCTTCCGGGGACCCATGGTCCAGAAGTAAATGGCTCCCTATACTTTTAATGATTCCTAATAAAAATAATTTTTTTAAATGAATTTTATGTTTATAGCTAGATGCTAAAGTGAGATTAGTGCTCAATACTAATAAGGTTGATAAAATATTAAAGCCAGCTGAACTCCATAATTCACTGAAGTATTTTAAAATAAAGACATTTATTTAGAATGAGTGAATAATAAATGGCTCCCTATTAAAGCGATTTTCTTGTAAATGGCCAACTGACACTTTGTATGAGTGAGGCTGATTCAGAATGATTTTTTTTTACTTTCCAAATTTGTCTCCATGTTCTTTTGCATAGCTAGATTTGGATTTTAATAAACTTTTTGTTTTTTTTTTACTAACAAATGCTTGTTTTGGTGGAAAGTTATTTGAAAGCATCTTTTAAACAATGTTTGTACTTAAATTTGTAGTTTTTTCTAATTATCAAAGCTCTTAGATGGAAACGACCTTCTAAACATACAAGAATTACCACGAGGAAAGCTAGTTTCTTTTGCAAATACTTAAAAGTACCAGGAGGTAAAAATGACTGCAGTCTGTGATGGAGCATCATCAAAGAAAAACTAGAAGGAGAAGGTTCAAACCAGCTTTGGTAGGAGACTAGCTTATAAATAAAGCTTTGATTGATTGATTGAGACTAGATGAGAAGGAAAAGAGGAACGGATCCCCAGAAGGGACATTAGCTTTGATTTTACAGCCTTAATGTTGTAAATAATCTGGAGATGAGCCCAGCTAACTGGATTTATTGCATCGTGGAAATGCCAGTATAACTGGCTACTAATTAATTTTTGATCTTGGCTTTTAAATTCCATTTGTGTGTTTTAAGGTCAGAATGTAATGGGTGCCGATGGAACCAGTTAGATTTAATATCGGAGCTTCAGCTGTCTGATGTGTTTATGCATTTTAAGTAGGAAAATACATGCAAAACACCTTTATCATTAGTTGTTTGTGTTTTTGTTTTAGCATAATCAGACAGAAAAGAAACCTTATTTTGCAGTAGGTTAGAGCAGTGTTTCCCAACCCTGGTCCCCAGGGCACACTGACCTGCATGTTTTCATGTCTCTGCATCAGCACACCTGATTTACATTTCCTCCTCAGGAGGACAAGTGCTGCAGATGTCTGTTAATCACTCATTCATTTTAGTCAGATGTGTGGCAGCAGGGAAACACGGGGTTAGAGTCACTTCAACTTCCTCCACCAACGTCCATCCATTCATCCATTCTCTTCTGCTTATCTGGGGTTGGGTCATGGGGGCAGCAGCCCAAGCAAAGTTACCCAGACATCCCTCTCCCCAGCCACTTGGGCCAGCTCCTCCAGGGGAATCCCCAGGCGTTCCCTGGCCAATCAAGAGACAGTCCCTCCTATGTGTCCTGGGCCATACCCTTTAGGTCTCCTTCCAATTGGACTTCCTCGGAAAACCTCACCAGGGAGGCGTCCAGGAGGCATCCTAACCAGATGCCCGAGCCACCTCAACTGACTCCTCTCGATGTGGAGGAGCAGCAGATCTACTTGCCACTTGTATCCTCGATCTTGTTCTTTTGGTCACTACCCAAAGCTTGTGACCATAAGTAAGGGTTGGAACGTAGATCGACAGATAGATCGAGAGCTTCATCTTCCAGCTCAGCTCCGTCTTCACCACGACAGACCCTTACAACACCCACATCTCTGTGGACGCAGCACAAATCCGCCTATCGATCTCCCGCTCCATCTTTCCCTCAATCCTAGATGGGTGGGGAAGATACTGTATTTAACAGAAACCCAGCTGCATGTGCACACAGCCTTAAGCTCAAATTCTATCTCGAGTTTCATCCTTTTTCGTGTTTGCTTTTTTTTTTTTATTCACCTGTGCAGCAGCTCATCAAGCTCTCCAGAAGCATGTTAATCACCTGCTGACTTATATCAGGTGTGTTGAAGCAGGGAAACACTAACACAAGTGGGATAGCGGACCTTGGGGACCGGAGTTTGATACCTGTGGATTATGCCGTCCGCCATAAAACCAAAAAGAAGTAGAAGGAAATAACTTTTGATGTCATGTATAATGTTCCGCTCCACTGCCAGGATAAAAGACCTGAAGTTACACCACTGCACGTCTCGAAAGGTGCTGGGAGTAAATAAGCCATTAGGTCACATGTATTGATGTAATCTAAATAGATATGAAATCGCATCCCTGCAATAGTCTTATTTTGAAAATTACCACACGTTTTACACTGAAACCGTGCGTCATTTTGTGTTTAGCCCTATTTTAACTTGTCCCAGAAGCGGCGCAGCATGCTGCTTCTGGAACGCGCCTGAAAATGTCCGTGCCGTGGGCGGCTGGTTTGCATCGACCCACAGACCATAATGGATTCCGTTTGAAGCGGTGACGTTCCGCGCCCGTTCTGTGCCGCTGATGTCTCCAGTGTGAAGCGGGCTTTACGGTCTTTGCCCGACATCATCTTGGACACTTTTCTATTATAAAAACAAAGATCTTTTTTGGGTATTTGAAATCTTTAAAATTGCTCGAATTTTCTTGAAAAGCCTGATTCATTTAAACAGAAATGAGACTTTTCAGTGTCTGACTTGGCATTAATGTCCAAGCTGAAATCTTCTAGATGATGATCAAGAACCTAAAGTCCTTTTAAAAACTTGGATCACGTTTTAAAAGATTAGAGTTCATTATTATTGAGATCTTTAGTGAAGACCACTAAAGAATGCAGCACAGCGTGGGCTCAAGGCTAAAGTAAAACAATATGAACTCCAGTGACACCTCAGGTTGTTTTCATGCTTCAAGTAAATTCCCTCTGCTTTCTCCTTTTTCTTCTCCTTGGTTTATTTTTGTTATGGCGTCAGCTGACTGTGAACCTGCTTGATGTTTTCTAGACTGGCATTCGTGTTGGATACTCCTATCTGTTCATGGGCATCCACTCGAAGGTCAGCGTTAGACCGTCTGATTAGTCCGCCTCCCTCTTTGTCACAAAGCAAGTGAGTCACACTTTGTCAACAGGAGCAACATCTGATTGTCCCCCTTTGGAGTTAATGAGTGATGAAGTCCTCCTCTGAAGAGCAAGTCACCTCTCTGTGTTGGTTAATGACTAATTACAGCTTGATGTTTACCGATGCACATCAAGGTAGGGCAGCTGTACAGATGTTTGGTTGTTTTTATCTGAAGGGAGAACCGCTGACGAGGCAGGGCAGCGGTGGGATTGTGTCACCCATCAAAAATGGAAGCCGGTGGAAATGTTTACACCAGCTCTGGATTATGTCATCCCAGCGTCTTGAGCTGGATGTTTGATCGTCTTGTTGTTCATGAGAAACAGGCGTGGGGGGGTCCTGTTGAGACCTGCAGAGAGAGAGAGAGGAAGAGCTGATTCACGCTCCTGTTCTCAGGCAGCTACGGTTCTGTTGGATCATGGAGGCCCGCCTCAGTGGCAGAAGGTTAAAAGCAGAAGCTCTGAGGTTACAGACGCGGGCAGGTGGCTTGTGTCGCAGCAGAGCGGAGAAAGGTCTTCGGTTTTTCGTGTTCATCGTAAATTCTGTTCACTTTAGGCTGATGTAATTGCACCTTTTCCTGGAGTGATTGAGAGCTGGGGGGAGGGGGTCCTTGTGAGGGTTCTTAAGTCAGACGAAAATAGATTAAAAGCAAACAGATAAAGCTGCATATGTGTTTGGGTTCAGCCGGGAGGCGGCTGCAGCCAGAATGAAGGGGAAAGTTTTTGTTTTTGTAGAGAGAGAGAGAGAGAGAGAGAGAGAGAGAGAGCACGCATGTGTGCTGGAGTTTTTGTGGTTTTCAAAGTGTGTGTGTGGGGAACTGCTGAGATAGACTTGTGAGCTTCAGGTCACCCCCCCCCCCCCACCCCCACCCCCCCCAGCCCAGACTCATGTCTGATTCCCTTAAAGGACCAGCTACCTCCCTCTTGCCCTCTTCTCTCGCCTCTGGATGCTTCGGCCTTTGTGTTTCTACGTTTAAACATAGATGTTGACACACTCAGCTGTCAGCTGTGGAGCTAACTGTCTGACTCCACTGACAACATCACTCTCCTTCTGTTCTCCAGGTGTTTGTGTGGTCAGTGAAGCATCCTGGAGAGCAACATGACTGAACACCTGGGCGATTTGAGGTGAGTGGCCTCTTCAGGTGGAAGTTTGAGTGCAAAACAGAATCTGATCATCATTTTGAGGTTTGTGCCTTTTCTAATTATTTTAGTGTTGCCTGAAAGTGATGCGAGCTCCGTCACAGCTCTCCATACCAGACCTCTAGTCACCAGCCGTTCAAATGCACACTGAAAATAAAGCGGCCAATCATGGCAAGCAGGTCAGCAGCGACTGCCGATCCGGTGGGAACCCGCAGGCTCCGCAGCAAGGCGCCGCGACGCACCTGGGTTCAAAGGGTCCTGGGAGCCATGGCGTCAAAACCAGCCTCAGCAGTCCAGGAATGAAGGCCGCCGGCCAGTCAGTGAGCAGCGTCGGAGGGATGCCGAGGACCAAATCCAAGCGGAGCGTCCCCGTCGACTCTGGAGAACCCAGAAACGCCGCTCCTCCGGCTCTGGAGGCGGACACCAAAGGCGGTGAGTTGTAGGAAGATCATTTGCATCAACATCTGAGAACACGCAGAAGCCATGTCTCTGTTCTAAATATTCACTTCCTTTCACTCCCTATCAGATACATCTTTACCAGAAACGGCATATTGCGTACACTCACTTCCTCCACAGCAGGAAGTGAGTGTAAAGATGGACAGCTTTGTTTTCTTTTTGTCTGAAAATCCCTGACCTTTCACTGAAGCACCAAATTTCCCCGTGACTTTTGATCCTTTTGTTGTTATGTCTGCACAGCAGTGATGCGTCTCAAGAAAAAAACTGCATCAAGGCTTTCCGACGGGTCACGGGGTTGTGTCAGAGTTAAAAATATGGACATGTTAATATTAGAACAGGAGCTGATGGCTTTCTGTTGGTGTTTATGCAAACGTTTATGTGACTGTGGTTCAGTAAAATGTGTTGGATTTGCATCTGCTTGCTGCTGTTTATTCTAGTGTTCATGTGAGCGTTTGACTTTAGGTGACATTACGGAGTTTTGTGTGTACATGACTGAGACGAACACTCCCACACCGTCATGTTTTTGACTCTTTAAGAGGACTTTAGCGTTATTTATTTGATTTGTTCGTGCAGGCCTGCTGTATAAAATTGTCATTATGTTAATTTCTGGTGAGTTGTTTTTGACAAGTCAGCACCAAGTGTGACTTTCAAAACAGATTTGAGTGCTCGATGCAAATTGACACGCTGAGAAAAACCCACACGGGGGGAGGCGTGTCTCCAAAGCAGAGCACAACAGAAGAACAAAGATGGAGTGAATCACTTGAAAACAAAGGTCCTCTGGCTGTGTGTAGGCTGTCGACACCTGTTTTATCCTCGAAGATAATCTGTGTTGGAGAAACAAAAGTGGGTTTCCCTTTAAATCTGCCTGGAAACTTGTTGATCGGCTCAATAGCCGACCTTCCTGGATCAAACTAGCTGCTGCTAGCAGGAACAAAAGGTCATTCTTTCACGCTGCCACCACGTGACGAGGTAGCTGCCCTCCTCCTGCTGTTGCGATTCTCTGTATTGTAATGACTTCCTTTTTCTGCAACGCAGCCATTGAAGTCTGTGGTTACCCAGAATTATCTGATTTTGTTTTTGGAACAAAGACTTTCCTCCACAAAAACGCACAATCTTGTGAAATATCACAAGTTCTTACGAGTTCAATTCAAACTCTGTCATAAATGACTATTAACTGGCATCTTTATTTATAGAGTGCTTGCCATAACTGTCAAGGTAGCCCAAAGTGCTGAACACTTCATAACCGATAAATTCACATTTAAAAACTATAGAAACAAAAATCTAAAACGTAAGTAAAACTCAGAACAATACTTCCTTGAGCTATTGCACTCGTACAGCTATGCTCAAGGGCTAGCGAGTAAAAAGTCGTCTTTTATCGACTCTTAAATGTCTGTGTATTATGTTATTTTAAAGCGGCAATAGCAAATCAGCAAAACAAGCTAGCTTAAAACATTATTTTCATGCCTCTTAACAACGGTTTAACATATTATAGGCATAGATAAGTCAGACCTGTTCCCGGTGAGGGTTGGACTCCGCCAGGGCTGCCCTTTGTCACCGGTTCTGTTCATTACCTTTATGGACAGAATTTCTAGACGCAGCCGTGGTGTGGAGTGTGTCGAGTTTGGTGGCAGGAGAATCTCGTCTCTGCATTTTGCAGATGATGTGGTCCTCCTAGCTTCATCCAGCTCTGACCTTCAGCTCTTGCAGGGTAGGTTCGCGGCCGAGTGTGAAGCGGCTGGGATGAGGATCCCAGCCGCTTGGGTGGCTTGCCAACTCCGGGTCGGGGGAGAGGTCCTACCTCAAGTGGAGAAGTTTAAGTATCTCGGGGTCTTGTTCACGAGTGAGGGTAGGAGGGATCGGGAGATCGACAGGAGGATTGGTTCGGCGTCTGCAGTGATGCGGACGCTGAGCCGATCTGTCGTGGTTAAGAGGGAGCTGAGCCTGAAAGCCAGGCTCTCGATTTAACGGTCGATCTACGTCCCAGTCCTCACCTATGGTCATGAGCTTTGGGTAATGACGGAAAGAACGTGATCGCGGATACAAGCGGCCGAAATGAGTTTCCTCCGTAGGGTGGCCGGGCTCAGCCTTAGAGATGGGGTAAGGAGCTCGGACATTCGGGAGGGACTCGGAGTAGAACCGCTGCTCCTCCGGATCGAAAGGAGTCAGTAGAGGTGGTTTGGGCATCTGGTCAGGATGCCTCCTGGACGGCTCCCCGGGGAGGTGTTTCGGGCATGTCCTGCCGGCAGGAGGCCCCCGGGTCGACCCAGGACACGTTGGAGAGGTTACATCTCCAATCTGGTCCGGGAACGCCTTGGGGTCCTGCCAGAGGAGCTGGTGGAGATGGCCGGGGAGAGGACGGCCTGGAGCTCCCTAGTTGGGATGCTGCCCCCGCGATACCCGGATAAGCGGAGGAAGACGAGAGACGAGGCATAGATATATTGTGCAGTAGGACTGGGCAATAAATCGCAAATTTATTGTTATCAACATTTTAGACTCTTATTGAGATAATTTTCCCCACGTCGATAAATTTGAAAATAAAAAATGAAAAGATGTGTGTAGGTTGTCAGCGTTCATGTCCCTTTAAGAAGCTGTACCGCCTTGAGTCACGTGAAAATGTGACTCAACATAATACATGTGACAGCCCCATCTAGTGGACGACCTTTGTTTAAGTGCACACCTGTAGTTATTGTCCGTTTATCATTATCGAGGTGAAATCCTCAATATATTGAAATATTGATTTAAGGCCAAATCGCCCAGCCCTATTGTGGAGATAAATAAACTAATAAAGGGGTACTGTTGCATATGTCTATAAACCTCTGCGAATAACACTTCTTGGACCTCCGCACTTCCGTGTGTCCTCCATTCATTACACACTTGACAGAACACAACTGGTGTGAGAGGTTTTCTGCTCAGTATTACCAGACAAGAGAAACAGCGGTCCGCCACCACTTCAACTTTAGGACAAACTTTCCTAAAAGAAAAACGCCATTTGAAGTAGGGTTGGGCAATAAACCGAAAATTGATCGTAATCGGAATTTTTGACTCTTATCAAGGTGATTTCCCCCATGTCAATAAATTTGATATGAAAAAATGAAAAGATATGTGTAGGTTGGCAACCTTCATGTCCCTTTAAGAAGCTGCACCACCTTGAGTCACGTAAAAATGTGACTCAACGTAATACACGTGACAGCCCCATCTAGTGGACGACTTTTGTTACTGCACATACCTGTAGTTATCGTCCATTTATCTTTATCAATGTGAAATCCTCAATATATAGTGATATTGACTTTAGGCCGTATGGACAACAACAGACGTTTGGACCTTGATAATGTCGGCTGGTGCTTAGCACTCTTTTGCTTCTGGCAATGCGGGTTTCCAGTTTTGGCAGACGTGGCCCAGCGATGATAGCCGATGCGTGGGGTGAGAGTTTCATGTTTGTGTTTAAAAGCTAGCTTGTTTTATAGATTTGCTATTGCAGCTTAATGATCATCAACTGTAGAGTTCCTCTATTATCCTGCGATCTCCTCCCAGTTCAATATCTATCTATATTTCTCTTTTGTGTTTTTTTTTGTTGCCGGTCTCAACCCTCTTCAGCTGACCCCAGTTTAGTGTTTTAATTTTTTAATCTAGATGTTTTTTTTAACTTCTGGTCAAAACAGCAGAATTATTCCTGTTGATGTTTGTTTATTTATTTAGCAGACGCTTTTATCCAAAGCGACTTACAATTTATAACCTATAGGGCATGTTGTGATCTGTGGGGGAAACTGGAGTACCCGGAGGAAACCCACGCATGCATGGGGAGAACACGCAACTCCACGCAGAAAGGCCGCAGCCGAGTTTCGAACCTGCAACCTTCGTGCTGCGAGGCAATAATGCTAACCACTGCGCCACCATGCAGCCCATGTTGATGCACTTGTCGCTTCCAATGTTAATCAAAAAGTATCTCGCAAATACATTTCTCTGCCTTCTTTTAAATGATTCATAATTACTCCTGATTATATAATAATAATTATATACCTTCATGATGAAACAAAACATGTTTTATTTAGGAAAGGGTGTCAGCTAAAGCTCTGGTTTGTGGTGTGATTTAGAAGACAATGGAATGGTGGGTGATATCTGAATGAGGATGTGTGTTTGTGTGTTGTCCTACAGAGGGTGTGATGCGCAGTAAACGGCGCTGTGTTCTGACAAAGAAGCAGCCTTACAGTGGAGATGAATGGTGTTCTGGACCGGATACGGACGATGAAGACAAGCTGCACGCTGGTCCTCAGCGTAAGTCGCACTTCTCATTAACATAATTAAGTGACCTTTAAATTCAGGATTTCTGTGCAGAGTGCCCTTGATGGGTTTGTTTTTGTATATTTTCAAAATGCTTCATCTGTCAGACTCGGATCTTGCATACATTGAAAGAAGACAGGAATACCTGCCCTTGCCTCTGGTTTTACTTTGCATGTTGTAGCTCCATCTAGTGTTGAGCTGTTGTATCACAACAGTTGCACTCAGGCTTCAGTTGGAGATCTAAGTCAGAATTCATGAGACATCAAGTGTTTTTCTTTTTCTTTAACTTTTTGTTTTGTTTTGTTTTCCAGGCTCCATCCAGGGGCTCTCTGATCGCTTGCCTGCCGGAAACAAGTCCGAACCCGGGGGAGCCGCGATGGGACCAGGGCTTAAAGCAGAGCAACCTCAGCCTCCACAGCAGCTGGTTTATGTTTTCACCACCAGCCTGGCCAACAGGTGAGAAGTGATAAATCATGTTGTATTAGTTATGCGTCTTTGTAGATGGTAACAGGTGATTTGTGTTTTGCTTGGCAGTGCTGCAGAGGCTGTGGTGAAAGGACAAACTGACTCAATCCTTCAGTTTCACCAGCAAAATATTTCACAGTCCAAGTTGGAGCAGGTCAGACATGTAATGTTTTCTCTCTTTGTTCCTGTTTCTTTGTCACTAGATCTGATCGTTTTTAGGAAAAGTTCAAAAGTGAAGTCTTTACTTTATCCCATCATATATATCAAATGAAGTTGTGAAGTTTACGTAGTCTGATATTTTAAGAGGTTAAAACGGTGTTGTTGTCTTATTCTTGCCCCAGGGTTACCCACCAGGAAAGCTTTCTAACCTGCCTGAGAAGGTAAACTCCACCAACTCTCCTCTCACAGGAACCCCAAAATCCCAAAGTGGAACTCCTCGGCCAGCTTCCGCAGGAGTCGGAGGTCCGATGCCTCCGATGGGAACGCCATCGTCAGTCGGACACTCTGATAATGAATCTTCTCAGTCTAGACCTGCTGGAACCAACAGCAGGTCAGAGGGAGGGAGCAAAACCTCTTCTGGAGGTGTAGACCCTGGGAATGGAGACGGTGTAGGAGGTATGGCACTTCCTGGTTCTGCTGTGTCCCCATCAGGAAGTCCCAGCATCCTATCTGCACATCTGCAGAGTGACGCACTCCAAAGGAGTGGTTTGGTGAACATAGACTGCCTTTCCAAAGAGCAGCTTGAACATAGGGAGCGCTCTTTACAGACTCTGAGAGACATAGAGAGGTTGTTTCTTCGCAGTGGAACACCTGGAGGTCCTGGAGATCCAGGAGCAGGAGTTGACAACAATGGTCCTAATAATTCAACCAACTTAAATAACAGTTCTGAGAGGAGTGGTGTTGATGATGCTGAGAATGGTACCAATAACTCTGGAAACTGTAGCAGTGGTAACATGTTGACCTCAGTGGTACCATCAGCTCCAGTGGGAGGCATGAAAAAATATGAGGAGCCCCTCGCGTCCATGATATCTCAAACGCAGTCCCTCGGTGGACCTGCTCTTGACAGCCCCCAAATGGATTCTCACCATAACCTACCACAGCACCCTCACCACCAGATGTCTCCCCCTGGAGACAATATGGGTCAGTTACTTGGACCAGAAGGGCTCTCAAGAGAACAAATGGCTTGGAGGAAACTTCAAGAAGAATACTATCTAGAAAAAAGGCGACAGCAGGAAATCCAGCCGCCTGGACACCCCCAGCACTTTAGAATGATCCCTGAAGTGGGAATGCATGGAGGTTCTATGATAATACGAGGACCTCCTCCTCCCTACCACAGCAAGCCTGGAGATCAGCAGTGGGGTCCTGCCAATATGATGAGAGGTGGAATGGGTGGAAATGGAAGAATGTTGGACCTACACCAAGAGGGACCACGTGGCCCGAGGTTTCTAGGGCCGATCCAAAGAGGGAAACCGGGGGGAGGAGGCTTTCTTGGCAGTCCAGGAGGAGGTCTTCCAATGGAGGCTCTAGGACCTCAGAGACCTGCTCGTCCAGGTATGATGTGGCTGGATGACGTGCCCAACAACATCAGCGGTGGAGGTGCCTTTCATGGCTGTTACCCCGGTGGGCCTTCACCACACTTTCAAGGGGAGGCTGATTTATTAACACGTGAGGAAATGTTTAGGCTCATGGAGAAACGGCACGTTCAAGGTGTTTCAAGGTTTGAACTGGAGAGATTAGCTAAACAGCAGCAGCAGCAAGGAAATATGGGTTCAAGAATTATGGAAAGTCTTGTGGGCCTAGATTTTCCTAATATGGGAATGGGTCGAGGTCCATCCCCATCCTCTGGGCGAGGGGAGCCTATGGATTTTCCTGGTTCACGAGAAATGATGGGTTCTCCTGGAGCTTGTCCTCAAATGAGAGACTTGGTGGATTCACCTTTAGGAGGCAACATCCCAATGAGCATGAACCCACCACTGAGTATTCAGCAGCAGCAGCAGATGATGCTACAACAGAGGCTCAGAGGAAGTCATGGAGCCAGAGGACCTTTAGGTGAGATGTTTGGGACAGGAGATATTTCACGAATCAGTGGTTCACAAAATGGAAGAGGAGGAAATAAGAGAATGATCCCAGGACCTGATGGCCCCTTTCAGTTTCCTGGTCAGAGTCCCTTCTCTGATGGACCAGTAGATGGACCCTATCTTCAACAATCGGGCCCAGAGATGTTTGGACCTGACCAGCCAGGTCCAAATCAAATCGGGGCCACGTCCCGGCTGAGCCATATCCATCTGGCTGAAGAGCTTAGAGGCGCAGACCTTGGTCCTAGGCACCCCTCAGACATGTCAGCCAGTGTTAACCCCCTAAATTCTCCATCAGTGCCTCCTCATCATCAACTTAAGTCGCCATCCCTCAGTCAAGAGCCATCTCCTCTTATGCCTTCACCCTCTGCTCATGGACTAAAGTCGCCAATTCCTTCTGCTGGGCATCACCCCACCTTTCCCCCTGCTTCTGGTGCAGGAACTCCTTGCTCTACTTCTTTGAAGTCTCCTCAATTAATGGTATCATCCAACCTTGGATTGCACTCTCCATCCGCTTCTCCCAGACATCTCAAATCTCCAGCCATGACTGTGTGCTCTCCTGGATGGACATCACCTAAAACAGCTCTTCCAAGTCCAGGAGGCCCAACCAATGGGAAGGTAGTTGGCAATGGAGGAAATGGCACCACTGAAACAGGTACTGTCCCAATCTTAAAAACAGGTTTTCTTCTGTTGCTGTGATACTAACATTTTGCATTCTTTGCAGGCCAATCACATCCCTCAAGGAGTTCCAACTCGACCCCCATTAGCCAGCCAGGTTCCATGAATCCCAGTATGCCGTTTACTTCCTCTCCTGATGCCCCGCCATCCCAGAATCCTTTATCTCTCATCATGTCGCAGATGTCCAAGTATGCGGTTCCCAGTTCTACTCCTCTCTACCACGACGCAATCAAAACGATTACCACTTCAGATGACGAGATGATGCCAGATCGACCTCTTCTGTCAGGTGTCAGTATTGGAGGTAGGAAAAAGATGTTGGAACGGACGAGAGACGTGGTTTGAGAAGAAAGACCTTTTTAACTTTAGTCTAATGTTTGTTCTGTTTTCTCACCAGGCAATATGGGAAACACCCAAACATCACAGATGCTTGTCTCCCAAGGCTCCATTGGTCCCCCAAATGATCCACAAAGCCCCATGGGTATTGTCAGCCAAGGTCCACAGCACCTGTCCCATGATGCCTCAGGGCCAGTGCTTTCTTCTCCAAACCAAATGGGCATGCCTACCATGAACTCTGTTGTTATGGGAGGAGGAGTACCTGATGGGATGGGGCCCAGTAATGTGTCACCATTATCTCAAAACCAAATGCCAGGTTTCCCCCGTATGCAGCCAGCGTCACTCGGGCCTATGCACTCACCCATTGGAGGAATGCCACAGAGTTTCTCTCAGTCTGGCGACGACATCCTGACTCATCAGCAGCTACAAATGCTGAGCAAAGGCCACCACCACCACCAACGCACTGCTCACCCATCAGACTCGTTCGCGCCTCTTCCCATGGGCGATGGTCCAGATTTAAGTGAAGTCATACGGCCCACTCACACAGGGATCCCGGAATTTGATCTGTCCCGTATCATTCCCGCTGATAAGCCCAGTAGCACCCTTCAGTACTTCCCAAAGAGTGAAGCTCATCAGAATCCACATCAAGGGCCTCCGTCACAGCAACATACCCCACAGCAACTCCTCAAACAGCTGTCTTCTTCTGGTCCCCAACATGGCGGCGGTCCTTCGTGCAACCCTCATTTAGCTAGCCTGCAGAGTATGGCTGAGCAGCAGCTGCCACCTCATCATTCACATGGAGGAATTCGCCAAAATATAGGCCTTCCTCAGGGGGGGGTGAGGGGTTTGGTTTCTGCTGGGGGCATGGGCCCCATGTGTCCCCCTGGACATATGATGGGAAGGACAGGCCTGATGTCCCAACAACAGCAGCAAGCCATGATGGCCAACAGCCTTCTCCACCATCCCTCTAATCCGTACTCGGGCATGATGCCCTCCCAGCAGCACATAACGCAGCAAAACATTCTGATGATGCAGGCTAAGCAGAGGAGCATGTCGATTCCAGGGGAACCTTTCGGACACCAGGGTCCCATGATGGCCCCTCCTCACCCTCAGTCTGGTATGATGGGCCAGCAGTCTCTCAGACAGCGGGGAATGTCTCTGGACAGTCCTATTGGCTGCAGCTCTGGAGGCATGGCCAACATGCCTTTCTGATCCAGCTCAACTGTTAAAAATGTACGTCTCATTGTCTTTTTTTTAATTATTGCTGTAGTTGTTTAAGAAAAAAATATGAAAAATCTGTAATAATCATGCTTTGGGTTACAGCTAATTATAATTTTGAAATTTTAAAAAACACTGTACAACTTCAGTAAGTTTGAAGCCATTTTCTAAAATACTGTAAATTGTGTAAATTAAAAAAAACAAATCTGTATTTGTTGTGGGAACAGAGCGGCCATTAGGAGAGGAGTGCCTCAAATTTGTATTTGTTTAAATATCATTGATTTATTTTCTCCAGCTACCAAACTGTTGTGCAAATAAATTATATAAATATATAATATATACCTGCTGTATATAAGATGCGAATTGTGATTGTTTGCAGTTGTTCTGTATAACTGTGTTTTAATAGGAGTCTAAAAATAGAATAATAATCTCTGAAATTGTTTGATTATTGTGTCGTTGATCACTTTATAAGACAGTGGGAAAAGGTTTTCTGTATAAAACCACAAGTCTTTATTAAATTCGGTTTGACATGTATACAGTACAAACAAATACATTTTGACAAACACTGTCGGCAAGGTACATGAAAATTCATCAAATCCAATTTCTCTTTAAGAAACGCAATTGTGTGTATATATGTATCCATACAAATAAAACTTTTCCAAACGAAAATGCATCAAAATAAAACTGAGCCAATGGGAATGTTGGAAAATACCTGGTTAGTGAACAAAAATAACAATAAAAAAGTATATATACATGTCTCCTTTTCAATAACACAAAACTGCAGCATACAAAGAAGCCCTTAATATAAAATAATTTGCATCAAGACCCAGTATAAAACATGCTTCTAAGTTGAGGCCAATGATCGCTTGAGAGGTTTAAACATTGTTTTTGCAGATATCAGAAATAGTTTCATCCAGACCTCAAATAGTAAAAAGATTTAGGTTGCAGGAAGAAACTGGCGCATATATGAGAGCCCACCCAAAATGGCTCTAATGACATTCATGTTAAGGACATTTAAAATGCAGAATCAACAAGCAGAATGTTTTCACGATGGCTTTTGTAAGTCTTTCCACTTGAGGTGTTGGAAAGTGATTTGACCTCATCGCTTAAACACAGCAACCACAAGATGCAGGACATGCAGGTACCAACATAGGCCAAAAATATCGTTGTGACATTGTGTGCACAATATCAAAAACTTTGATCGCGACAAATCAGTCTGTTCTAATCAAAGTGACCTGGATCTTCACGTGCACACACAAACACCCTCTCTTGCTAAAACACGTGAGCTACTCAGTCCGAGTCACAAATCGTTGGCGCTAGGCGTCCAGATTGAGTTTAAACTCCTAATTGTGACTCGGGTCCAAGTGGTGTGACTTGAGGGTCATCTTTAGAAGATGTTGGTGCTGTTGGTTGTTCCATCTGAAACGAAAGATCGCGTTCGCACTTGGATGAACGGTGAACAAACGCGGCCGCAGCCCAGCTGGCACAAAAGGTGAATCAACTCATTACGAAACTGCACGCCGACAAAAGCATACAGGAAGGGATTCAGGCAGCAGTGGGAGATTCCCAGGCTGTACGACACGTTGTAGACTTGTTTCAGGAGTTCCTCAGAGTCACACGTGTCTAAGATAATAAGTTTCAGTTCAGACAGAGACATTATCAGCGAGGCCATGCTGTAAGGCAGCCAGGAGCAGCAGAACACAAGCGTTACAAGTAAGGCCAGTCGAATTGCTGCTTTCTTGGATTGGCTTTTCTGGCTACTGCACAAAGTAACGACAAGTGCAGTGTAACAGTAGCACATAACCCCCAAAGAGAAGAAAAAGCACACATTGTGGATAACCCTGTTTGTAACAACCCAGTTGTGCGAGTGAATCTTAAAGCGATAAGCGTGGCAATCAAGAAACAAATCATTCTGGTCCATTTTCACAGATAGGAACACGGCATTGGGCAGCGACAGGAGAAGGCAGAACAACCACAGCGACATGCAGGTCAGGTGCACCACTCTTGGCCGTCGACTTTGCATGCTGGGGACCGCGTGGACAATCGCCAAGTACCGATCAAATCCAATGCAAGCGAGAAGGAAACTCACACACAAAAGGTTCAGATTCTCCAGCACGCCAGTCAGAATGCACAGGAACTCTCCGAAAACCCAACCGGTGATGCAGCCGACTGACTTAAAAGGCAAAGTGATTATGAGCATGAGGTCCGCCAGGGCCAGATGCAGCAGGTAGATCTCAGTGATGCGTAGACGATGTTGACGCCTCAGGAGGATGGTGATCATCAGGCCGTTTCCTGCCAGACCCAGGAAGAAGATGAAGCTGTAAAAAACTGACTGGAAGATGGCGTGGAAGTTCTGCAGGCCCGTTTCCTCAAAATCGCAGGTGTAGCTGTCATTGTAGTCATCAGTATACACAAAATTGCCATACTTCTCCTGTAAAAGGAAAACAAAATCACTGTTTACACTTTACCAAAGCAGCTGATTTATTATGTAACATCTAAATTACTGTAACACAAGGCCTCTGTAGTTTACTCAGACTAGTAGCAAGATATATTGAATGTGCCAGACCGTTTTCACTTCCTCTTCTGAGATATTTTTGGGCAAATCTGACAGAAAGTTTAACTTTGACTATAAATAAATTATTACTAAGGATCTTAATGCAGCTTTTACATGATCCTGAGCAAAATTGTCTCTAATTGAAGCTCTGAAAAAGAATTATATATTTTGTTGACTGATTTTAGGCATGTAATGATATTGCACAAATGTATTCATAATGTATTTAAAAGAGTGAAGGATACTTTAAATCTATCTGTTCCTAAATTAAACTGTTATTGATTTACAAAAATTTTTTACAAGTAAAATTTTATTTATTTTGTTCTCCTTGTTTCTCTGATGAAACTCAGGAAGTGCACACAAGATTTGACTAACTCCCTTCTGCTTCGGTGCATCTTTTCTGCTCAAAAAAATTAATGATGCATTTAGTTAATGAGATCTTTCAAATTTGTAGGATTTCAAATATGTTGATTTTTAACGATAACATGTCCTGCAGAGACAGGTATTTGTTTTCTGCAAGTTATTCAGTTTACTGGAAGACATCAAAAGTATTTATTGTACATACAATTCAATATTATGAAAAAAACATTTAGACACTTTTTACTCAGTTGAAACAGGAAAAATTGGAATATGGTGCAAAAACCTATTTATTTCAGTACTGAGAGACCATATAAGGGCTCAGAAAGCCTTTGCAGGTGTTTTAGATTCATTAGCTGATTAGAGTGACACTTTGAGTCTAGAACCTTTTCACAATATTCTAATTTTCTGAGATTTTGAATTTGGTGTGAACTGTAATCCATAATCATCTCAATTATAACAAATGAAAGCATGAAATGTCTGACTGCTTGTAATGAGTCTCGCGCGTATTAGTTTCACCTTTTCAGCTGAATTACTGACGTAGAGGAACTTTTCCACCATATTCAAATTTTTGGAATTTCACCTGAACTTAAACGCTTAGTTTAGGGTTTAAAATCCAACTGAATGCATCTGATGACTGGTTTTAAATCTTGTGTGAAGCCAAAATGTGAAACCTTTAAAGAAATAAAAAGTGAAAAATCTAGTTTTGAAAAGGTAACAATGATTTTTATTTTTGTTTAAATAACAAAATAGGTTATGACAGCTCCAAAAAACATTCAGCCTAACTTCTAAAGAAAACTCTGACTGTATTTGCTCCTTACCATGTCTTCTGTGTCGTTCATGAACAGATTGTCGGTAGATGTTCTCGACCGGATTTAACGTCTCTCACTACTGCAGTCGAGTATGCATATACTTCTTCCTGTGTTTCTTCTTCTGGATATAAATGGTGTGTGTATCTGGGGGCAGGGGTAAAGATGTGCACCTGGAAACAGAGAAGCATTGTGCAGTCATGCAAGAGTGGTCTGGCCTTCAGATGCTTCTCGAAATGTCACACAGTTGAAAAACAATGTCTGTAAACCAGTGGCGGTTCTACGTGGAATTACTCCCCGGGCGAGGCCCCCCTTTGAGCGCCAACTTGCTGTTTCCAATCCAGACACTGTGATGTGACAGATAGATAGAAAACCTCGGTGCGGCGCAGATTTCTTTCTTTTTTATTTTTTACTCAGCGCTTGTTCGCCCCTTTTGTGTCATGAAAAAATGCCGCCCTGGGCAACTGCCCTGTCTGCCCGTGCCTAAAACCGCCACTGCTGTAAACAAAATGACAAATTAATGACCAAAAAACAAACAAAAAAAAAAAAAGAATTTAGATTTTAGCAACTCACATTTATGGCCGAATATTGATATATGGTGGAGAAAAGTCATACTAATGTCAATAAACTTTCTTCAAATCTAAGGGACAAATAAAGCCTTAATGCTGTGTTTAGATAGAACAGATGATGGGTGTGTTTAGGGTGTGTTTCATTAAAAACCCTGGTTTGTTGTCATGACTTGATATTAACCAAAGCAATGTGGAAGACAGATATGTAGATTCAGATTAATGCTGAAAAACAGAGTTCTCCAAAAACATTTTGTTACGAAATTCTGGGTTAGAACAAGCAATAGAAAAAGAAAGCAGCTGTTGTGATTGAGGATGGAAAGACTTCAGTGGTTTGGCTCAAAACAGATGGCAGTAAGGTTCTTCACACAAGTGATCAAAGTCTGCATGTGTAATACACATATATGCGTTTTAAACACTATCAAGGGTTGTAATGTTGTAAAGTCAGATCCTACAGGTTGACTAAAACTCATAGAACATGGGGAGCCTCAGTCTCCTCCCTCTCCGGTCGGCCCAACATAGAAAACATAGAAACTGGAAGTGAACAGGGCTATAAAAGCTGTTTTCAATTCAATTCAAAAATACTTTACTTTATTAATCCCAAAGGGAAATTAGAGTTTCAGTACACCCGGTTCTGAGATCAGACATACATAGGCAAAGACACATGACAAGAATTGGTGACTGTGGTCATTCGCAACCCGAGTTGCGCTACCTTAATAGAGATCAGAGGGGTTTACATGAGGATTGGTTCAGGTGGAGGAAAAATAAAAGGCACTTCAAAGTTACCCTCCACAGGGAGGGCAGCTTTGCTATGTAAAAAAACACCTCAGACAGAAATGCAACAGACTTCAGACATAACACAACATAAGTGTCCACTAGGTGGGGTGGTAGGGTTTTGGGACTCTCCACACGTCAGCAGCAGCAGCCGCGACAAGAACGCTCTTCACCTCAGTCTGGAAAGGGGTGGGAGGTTGTTGGGTTTACAGAGCACAGTGACTCCTGGAACGATTCAGCGGCCTTCACAGCTCGCAGTCCCGCCCAGGCCGGGATAGGGAGACAAAGTTGCCATGGCGACGGCAGCATTCCACATTTCTTCGGGGGGGGGTTGGGTATTCGTTTCAGCCTCACAAGCTCAAGGGCACCAGATTCAGATAAGAAATTGTTTGGGGGCCAGACAGAGATAATTTCTTCTCCGTCTTAGAGTTCCGCTGGTCCTCAACCTCTCAAAATCCAATAATGGCGTAGATTAATCTATCCCAATCTGTGCTGATTCGTCCACTCGCTCCTTGATCGCATCCATCTTTTGTGCCAACGCGTGAACCTCAGCCAAAGTTCCAAGCTTACGTCTCATCTAGAAAATTATATGAGTCTGTGAATTCACAGTGTGGTGCAATCCATCTCTGAGCTCCGGGAGTGAGCCAATATTCCTTGACAGCTCGTTAATTTTCCACTAAGTCAGGTAACCTCTAAGGCCAAAGAGCAGGGAACCTGACACCAACACCATGAATATCCAGACGTCTTCAGAATCCTCTACAGACAGCTGAGAGAGGCAAATCAGGTTCCACTGGTTCCAGGAGTCCACGATGTGCCCAACTGGATCTGTCCCAGAGGGGCACCCGGGAGCCCCTTCATTGAGAAAAATTTGTCACTCGCATTGAATGACCAGCTGACCAGGTCCATTTTTAATAATGTCCAGTTTCCAGAAAAAAATGTAGAAACTCCATACACCCAAAGACAGACAAAGAGCCTTGGGGATAAGATAGGGAGGAGAGGAGGAAAAAAGCGTCTGTACTCTCCAAGAAATCCGCTTTCCCTTATGCCCTGAATCACACATGTTGTACTTTAATGTAAATAAAAGGTAATGATATGTGTGTTTCGACTATCTCTGTCACGTAATTTAAGATTTATTAGCTTTTAAAAATTCTTAATTAAAATGACTACAAATCAGACGTCGCATATATGAAGTCTTCTCCCCCAGCGCAGCTGCTACCACATAACCAGACTTATAGTGGTTTTCTCCACATTCAATGCTCCTTTTATTCTGGAAGAAGGATTAAAAGCTCACAAAACTAATCTTCTCCTCTTCTCCGTTGTGTGGTTTGATTATGTCACATTGGTGAGATCTCCACCATCCTTTGTGGCCACTTGCAACTTCAGAGTGCCAGTCCAGTCCCTGTTGGACTCAAGCCTGATTTATACCTCTCCGCAAGGGAGAGACGCACATGCATTGACAGAGTAACTGGAGAAGTCTGGTGACAGAGAAGTCTGAGAGAAAATTGTCTCTGTCAACCGATTCCTGTACTCAACTCCTCCAGACCTGCAGCTAATGGATCCCCCATCAAAACTTTTGGTGAAAGTTTGGTGACAGTATGCTTCCACGAACGTGACTTTGACTGGAATTTTATTGATGCTGCAAGTTCAGGTCCTATCTTAGGTGCTGATTTTGTCTGTGCACATGGACTTATAGTTGACTTAGCCAACAGGTGGTTGACTGATGCTGTGTCTTTTGTATCCATGCCTTTTATGACACAGGGGACTGGGCCCTAAATGCATGCTAATTTCCTTTTTACAGAAGATGCCTTCCAGTGTGTGTTATCTGAGTTCCCCACTCTCACAGTCCCTACCTTTTCTAAGTCTGTAGCTAAACATGACATTGACCATTTCATCCCCACTACTGGCCCACCAGTCATTGTGCGCCCATGCCACCTTGACACCGCTAAGCTGGTCATTGAACGTGCAGAGTTAGCCAACATGGAGTGTTTGGGCATTGTGTGCCCCTCTAACAGGTGGGCTTCCCCACTGCACATGGTACCCAAGGCTGATGGTGACCCTGTGGGGATTTTCGCCTTAATGGTGTCACTGAGAGTGACCAGTACCCAATCCCCCACATTCAGGATTTTTCAGTACACCTCGCTGGAACCTCCATCTTTTCGAAGTCAGACTTGGTGTGTGGCTACCATCAAGTTCCTGTAAATGTGGAGGACATTCCTAAAATCGCTGCTATACCACCTTTGGCCTCTTTGACTTTTTACGAATGCCCACTGGCCTTAAAGGTGCCACACAAATCTTCCAGCAATTGATGATTTGACCTTTGTTTTTTGTATTTGAATGGCATCTTGGTTGTCAGCCATTCTGCCGAACAGCATGTCAATCACCTGCGCTAGGTTTTTCAATGTTTGGTGGACCATGGTCTGATTGTCAATCTGGTTAAATGCCAATTCGGGTTGGGACACAGCATTTAAGCCAGTGGTGCAGTTCCTTTGCCCGCTAAAGTGCAAGCTGTTACAGCCTTCCCACAGCCGTAAACGGTAAAAGCTTTGCAAGAATTTTTGGGATGATTAACTTCTACAACTGCTTCCTCGCCAGAATCCATCTTGTACCGTTCCAGTTAAAACCGTCCGACCTCCAGCCCAAAATAGGCTGATCCAATCGCGTGTCAGCACAGTGATAGTGCGTTCAATGACCTCAGAATTCAGATCTTGGAGCTGAGAAATGCATCTAACCCAAGTTACCCACGTTCTGTTTACCGTATAGAGAAGTGAGTATTCCAATATGGCGACGCCCACTTCCCAAATAGCCATTGTTTGTAGATTCCTCTTAAAAACATTATTTTAAGCTGTATGTTATACATGCAAACAAAAGTCTTAGTATGCTTAAGTTAGAGTTGCAAGCATTACATGTAACATGGATTTTAAATGCACTATAAGTGTGTCTCAAACTTTCCAAATTTCCAAGGGCCAAATCAAACGCACCATTAGTTTTGACGATAGTATCAAGCGCCCGGCTAAGTGAAATGTGTAGACTCGACACGGGGCGGGGCTACACATAGAGATCTGGCTACTGCCAGGTTAGGATAACGAGTGGAAGTACAGCACATTTGACAGGGAGTTGCTAGCTCTCTACCTGGCCACACACCATTTTCCCTAAATATCTTTTTTACTTTAATGGGCCAACAGCGGTTCTGCTGATGAATTTAAAGAAAGCAGTGTCATAACCAATCACAAGCTTGCAGTCTCCGTCACTTTCAAAGGATGTTTAAAATTTTGGGCATGTCTCCGTCACTCTCTGTGGAGCCTGTCGGAGTTCCCTTGTGCCGACACATAATGGCATTGAGTGTCTCTGCACCAATGCAGACGGAGAAGTACAAATCAGGCTTTAGTAAAGTGGAACTTACATGCATGTCACTGCAGTCTTTTTCCAGCATGTTTCCAGCATGTTTAGATTGTGAAGACAACTGATTTGTTTGATTTAGTGATGAACCACTCCTGTAGACACTATGAAGACTAGGTAGACATTTCAGCAGGTAGATTTAAGTGTTAAAAAGACAAGAGCACAGCGAGGAGATAATTTCCCTTTTGGCTTTACTAACTGGACACTGGGTGCTAAGAGCAAGCCAAATCTGCAAAGTATCCCTTTAATAAGGATATTTGGATATAGTGTGGTAACATTGTTGGGGAGCAAAAAGTTTCAAAACAAGAGTTAAAGTTGAAAATATTCATGAAAAAATCATGAAATTATGTTTTAGCCAAATTTTCCATCCATGAATTGTAGCCAAAGTTTCCATCCATGAATTGTACTGATTATATGTTACAATGGCTGGCCACACATTCATGTCTTCTTTTGTCAAAAACGTCACATATTGGCTCTCTTTAAATTATATTTACATTTCTTAGAATACCAGAACCAAACAACAAACATTGTTCCCTATCTCTAACCAAATTACCTCTTGATGTCTTCATAAGATTATTTTGAATGTTTAATTCACGACATAAAAACAAGTCATTCGGCTAAAACAGTGATGGTAAGAAATGTTAATCAAAACTAACATTTTGTGTACTTTCATAGATGTAAGTATATGCATTTATTAGTAAACTGTTACGGTTTAGTCGTTGGTTTGAACTAGAGTCAGCTGATTTGTTGGCTGGGGGCGGGTTAAATACGACTGGGAGACATCTTGACTCCTTGTTTGATAAGACTCTTTCGTAGTCAGCTAGGTCTTTCGTACAATTACAGCAAACGAAACCGCATTATTTCTGTAAACTAAGGTAAATCTATTTATATCCTAACTTATACGGTTTATGGTTACATCTTTGTTTTGTGTTTAATATTTCTCGCGGCTACATTCACTTTTAGGTGCATTTTGACCGTTATTTCGCCTCCACTAGCCGGTTTGAATTAGCTTACAAGAAGACCCGTCACTGATCGCCCGAGCGGCGTTAGCGTATGACACGATGGACCAAACCTCGTTATTTGGGATAACAGGTCACGTTTTGAAAATACACACTTTTAATGTTAAACTACAGCAATTGGGTTGAGCATTAATTAACATAGGAAGAGTGTGGTTGTTGACTACCGATACAACGCTAGTTAGCACGAACGGTTAGCTTAATGCGCTAGCATAAAAAGTAGCTAGCTCAGTTAACCTAATGAAGCTTGCCACTGAGTGAGATTAAGTGACCAAGAAATAACTTTACTTTTTCATGGTCAAACCTATCTCTACAAGACCACAACCAAGCTTTGGTTGTCTGCTCATTTCTCCATTATGTGCGCTTTCTAATGCTGACGAATAGCAATCATGACCGCTGTTGGCTAACTTGACTTTAGGCCAGTTCAGACGGATTCTGATAAACAAACCGTTCAGCTATCGAGAGATTGTTGCGGTGTATTATTCAACGCTCTTATCACATTTTTTTCTAATTCATGCTTTTATTTCTCATTCCAGAGTTGGACAGACTTGGAAGGACTCAGGGGCTCTATGAAGCTAACAGGATGGCCAGCTGAACAGTTGGCCAACATTTGAAAGCTCTCTAAGCCTTCGTGTCGTGCTGTTTTCCTAAATAACTCTACGCCAAGCCCTAATTTAACTTAAATTTCATGCTCACAAGTCTTAAGAATTTCGCGAAAGTTGATGTCCTAATTTAGTTAAGATATTTTTTTAAAAATTATTATTAAAGACGCAAAGGCATTAAGATTTGAGTGATCCCAGCTGGGTGGACTCGCTTCATTTGGACACTACTAGAGATTTTCTAGTTATCAGAACAAAAGAATATATATATAAGTAATAAGCAGACATGAGCAGCAATAGGACAGAGAACCCAGTGATTCTGGGCTTGTCAAACCAGAACGGACAGCTAAGAGGTTCAGTAAAACCTGCTGGAGCTCCAGGTGGAGGTGGCGGAGGTCCTCAACAGCAGCAGTTGAACCAGATGAAGGGCACAATCAATGGAAACTCCCAGCCAGCCCCTCCAACAAACGCTATTATTAAGTAGGTTTTTTAGATAAGATCTGTTTTAAAATCAAAATGCCGTTTTGGTTGATTTCTAACCAGATTTTTTCCCTTTAAACACTCAGGCCTGGAGACGACTGGAAGAAAAATTTGAAATTGCCCCCAAAAGATACGAGGATTAAAACTTCGGTTGGTCTTTTATAATGTTGTTCTTTTTAAGATTATTGGGTAAAAATCTTCCTTGTTTTCAGCCAGGTTGTAATGTTAATCACATTTATGTGGTATGCAAGTTCAAAATGTCTAAACATCCTGTATCCCAAACACTGATTAGGCATTTTACAATGTTTACAGGATGTGACTGCAACTAAAGGCAATGAGTTTGAAGATTATTGTCTAAAGCGGGAGCTACTCATGGGAATCTTTGAGATGGGCTGGGAGAAGCCATCTCCAATTCAGGTACTGTCACAATTCTGGGTTTTTGACAAAAGAGCTCAATTTTTGGTAGCAAAGGATAATTGCTGTGATTACTCCAAACTTTTTTTTTTATACTCAACTATCCTCACATGCTCAGCTTTGAAATGTGCAGTGGCATAGTTCAGGGGTGCCCAATCCTGGTCCTGGAGGGCCGGTATCCTGCATGTTTTAGTTTGAACTCTGTTTCAACACACCTGATTTCAATCAGCAGCTAATTAACAGGCTTCTGCAGAGCCTGATGAGCTGCTGCACAGGTGTTTCAACCACTGAATCAAGTCTGTTGGAGCAGAAAAACCACAAAACCTGCTGGATACCGGCCCTCCAGGACCAGGATTGGGCACCCCTGGCATAGTTTGTGACACTGTTGCCTCGCAAGGTTCTAGGGTGTTTTTCATTGTCAAGGCGCCTGGCCTCACAAGGCGATGTCTTGCGAGGCCAGGCGCCTCACTTACGAGGACACGGTCCTTCCTTGCTCAAAGAAAACTGTTAAATGGAATGGACTTCCCTCACGTGACTGCGGATCCTGCGGTGGCTATGTCACGTGACAGGTGAGGTAAAGTTATATTTTATGTATAAATTTTGTATAACGAGCCTTTTACTTTCGTTTAAATTGGTGAAATTAAATATGTAAGCGAGTCAGTACCTGCTAGCCACCAAAGCTGCAACTACTAATCAACTAACAAACCATAGATAATTGCTTTGGATCTAAAAAACCATTTCAGATATCAGCCCTGTAGCTTGAATTAGTTGACTTACATTTAAACTGGAAATTTGCCCCAGAAGTAGCTGATGGCTCCTGATCCACCATCCTTTTGAAATTTCTGTGCTGTGTTCTGGGAAATTTGACAGAGAAGGCAACAAGTACCTCGCATATATCCTTGCTCATTTAGCTAAACGGCTAACAAACGGAGGACCGACACCTCAGTAGGGTGGGGCCAACACATCAAAACAAGGCTCCTTGACATTGAGAAACACCCCTAATCTTGCATACTGCCTTTCTGCGTGGAGTTGGCATGTTAGTCCGTAGCACGCGTGCCTTTTCTCTGGGTTCCATAACAGTTTATGAAGAATTCCACACCAAGCAGAGGCACTCATGATCTGTAAAGCACAAAGTTATTTTGGGTCATTTAAGATGTTGTATAAGAATTACCATCACATCGGTGTGAAGAGCTTTTTGAATTGCTTCCATTTGAAGAAATTGTTTCAAACAGGATTGATGAGCCAACGGCTAGTTACTGAGAACTGTGTTTGTTTTGTGCAGGAGGAAAGCATTCCCATCGCACTGTCAGGGAGGGATATTTTGGCCAGAGCCAAGAACGGCACAGGAAAGAGTGGAGCCTACCTCATTCCTTTACTGGAACGCATCGACCTGAAGAGGGACTGTTTACAAGGTAGGAGTTCCCATCAGATCTTCACTTTGATTTGAATTAGAGGAAATTCTGAGAGGAACACGAGATTGTGTTATAGCAGCGTAAACAAAGATCTGTGATTTAGCGCTGAGGCTGTGTGGTGTCTAATTAACGATCTAAACACTCGTATAGCAAAAATAGTTTTGACCTTAAGATAAAACTAAGGCAAATGTTTCTTAATGTTACAGAATGCAACATTTAACAATAAGACTTGGGATGAAACACTTAATGGAAAATCTCTAAATCAAGAACCAAGCTGCTGATTCAGACTCTGCATGTCTTAAAGTTCGTGTCAATTATTAATTTAGAAAAGACCTCATCTATCGATCGGATGGAAACAATATCCAGTGGAATTTAAAGTTTACTTCTGTCATTTAAGTGTGGTCAAATTGTATTTATTAGCCTTTACAAAGTTTAAATAATAAAGTTAAAATTTGGCTTTTTTAATCGCAATTTTTACTTTTCCCATCTTCTATTTTTCGGTTTTTAATCTTTTTTTTTTTGTTCATTTTCCATTCTGTGATTTTTATCTTGAGAGACGGTAAACGAAAGATTGTTTTTTTCTTTTTCACACTCGTTTGGTCAGTTGGCCTTTTCCTACAGGGGTGAAAAATTATGGAACTCAAAACGTATCTGAGTTTGTAAAACCCACTTCTAGGGATAATGGGCTCGACACACGGGAGGCGACATCGCCTCTCCTCCATTCATTTTCAATGAGACATGCGTGACAAAGCGATAATCGCGGGTCTCCCTCCTAAGCGAAACGCGAAAAACGTGCGTGTGAAATTTTGCGCTTGTGCACGTGTCGTGCACAGGCGACCCAGCGACGCGATCCCAGAAAGTTGAAACATTTTCAACTTTTCATCGCTGTCGCTCGGACGAGGACCAATCATCGGAGGTTTCATTCACTGACCAATGAGCGGACAGGATGCTTCGTACATCTCCGAGCAAACATGGAGGAGAAGTTGATTATTATTATGTTTTATGTAGTTAAATCAGAAGGAAGATTTCTCATAACTCTAGCAGCACCTTGTGAAACATCATATCTACCGCTTTATTAACTCTGAACCGCTTAAATAACCTTAATTCCCTCCAACCTGACACAGCCAAACAAAACAACGGAAGTTTCAATTTCGCCATGGAACAGAACGCGTAGACGGCTTTGCCGCTGCCGCGGGTCGCCTCCCATGTGTCAGGTAATAAAAGCGATAACGACAAATTTCGCTGATCGCATTCGTTTGTCGCCTCTCGTGTGTCGAGCCCATAAGTCGTAGCTTATAGAAAACCCCAACCGTACGTATGTGCGACTTTGTTTTCATTTTTGTGTATTTAACTCATTCAGTGCCATTGATGATTGAAAGTGTCATTTGCATTTTTTTGATTATGGGCGTCAGAACGAGCCCCCGCACCGTGAGAAACCTCTCCGCTCTAAAGCCAATCTTCATCCACATGCGTCACACGTCACGTGATCAGAAGCAGAAAATCCATGTGTTAGGAGATCGTTTTGGGCCGCTGCTGTAAAAAAGTAAGGTGCGAACTGGAAAAGCTTCTGCCGATCACAATTCGACAATGGATTATGAAAGAATGGATAACACTCGAAACGCGCAGATTCTTCCTGATGGAAGACGCAAGTCTCCTCTTTGTTTTGTTAGTTTTGGCGTTGCAATCATCCTAGCGCACAACCAGGGTCCGAAATTAAATTTTTTACTCACCGGCCAAGTTGGCTGGTAGATGATGAAAATCTACCGGCCAAGCATATCTTTTACCGGCCAAAATTCTAAATGATTTAGATCTACCTAAAGCATGTTATTCTATATTATGTTGATCCCAAACAGAGTGACAAAATAATTAAAAACATCAATTAATAAGAAAAATAACTCTTTTGTCATTTTTACTATTTATTTAATATGAACTCTTTCATTGAAATCTAGTCAGACTCCTTGTTTTCTCTGTCCATGAAGTCTGGCCTCCTGCTTCTGACACCGTCTTTGTGCCAAAGCATTACAGCCTCATTTGGGTCATAGTCCTCGATCTCTGGAGACACAGCTGCACCATGAGAATATCTGAAAAAGTGTTTCAGGGGCCGTCACGGTAACCGGTGTAGCGGTAAACTCCAGTAAAAAGGTCGACAATAATAAAAACCGCCTTGTTTTTAAAAAACAAATATTATCTCAGTGGATTACCGTGGCTGCGGTGTAGGCGCAGTGACCCTTACCAGCCACCGTATCATCTGCTGAAGTTGCCGGCGGCACATGCACACTTTGTTGTTTACGACCAAAACTTTCTTTAAGCTAAAGCTGAAATAATGGCCAGAGGAGACGGCAGCACTCGGGACATTTTTTATCCCTCAAAGAAGACAAAGTCGGAAGTACGGGCATTTTTTGGATATTTGAAGAATGCCGAGGGACAGTTGATGGAAGACTGCTATCCTGTTTGCAGCACGAGCAGAAAAAGTGTCGGTGAAAGGCAGCAACGCTACGTGGCCATCATAATGTAGCCATTGTCTCACGACTCCGCCATCTCCAGTTCGCCACTTTTCACAAAATCTTCTGGTTGCCACTGGTCCTGGTGGTTTTTCTTCCAGTTTGACGAGTTTTCTTTTGGAAGGCTGGCTGACTCCAGTTAAAAACCGCCACATTTCACCGCTAGTTTTAACACGAAGCTAACTGCTAACTTGATAAACTGATTGAATGGGATAGGTGGAAATGACGTTGGATGCGGCGCTCACGTTTCGCGTACGTTTGTGTACGTTGCGTGCAGGCGGGAGGAGTATCAGAAATCCATGGAAGATGGCTGAACATAACTAATTTGGTGCAAACATTTACTCGCCAGGTGGCAGATGGAGCTCGAAAATTTACTCGCCAAATGGAGCAATTTGCTCTCATTTGGCGAGTGTTAATTTTGGACCCTGCGCGCAACGTTCTGTGACTTAAAAAAACAGCGAAGGGCTTTTCTGATCAGGATACGGCTGGCAGTGAATGAGTTGATGCTGTCTAGAAAACCAGGGACGGGAGTAGAAAATTAGCACCAGCTGTATTTGCAAAAGCATCACAACAGCAGAAAGTAGTTTGTACCACGGTTGGATTGCAGGTAAATAAAACTTAACACGCATTCCCGTTTGATTCCAGCTTTGGTCATCGTGCCCACCAGAGAATTGGCACTGCAAGTAAGCCAAATATGTATCCAGGTCAGCAAACACATGGGGGGCGTGAAGGTGATGGCGACCACTGGTGGAACCAACCTCCGCGATGACATCATGAGGCTTGATGAAACGGGTAATCCTGCCGCCGATGTTAACTGTTTAGATGATTTGTCTGTTGGACTCTGTGAACATCATATCCATGCTGTTCCCAGTACACGTGGTTATCGCTACTCCTGGGAGAATCCTAGACCTCATCAAGAAAGGAGTTGCCAAAGTCGGTCAAGTGCAGATGATCGTTTTGGATGAAGTGAGTTATTTTTTTCCTCTGATTTGTGTTTAATTACTAAAATAGTGAAAGTGAAAATGAAAATGTCTTCTCTGATTTGTGTCGCTGCCTGCAGGCAGACAAGCTCCTGTCTCAGGACTTTGTGGTTATGATGGAGGAGATGCTGGGCTTCCTGCCCAGACAGAGGCAGATCTTACTTTATTCTGCCACCTTTCCTCTCAGTGTGCAGAAGTTTATGGTAGGTTTTTGCTTTAGCTGCTGAACCTGTTTGTTTGGCCTGCAGAAAAAACTTAACGGCTCTTTTGGTTTTTGATGTTAAAGAACGCACACCTGCAGAAACCTTATGAGATCAACCTAATGGAGGAGCTGACTTTGAAGGGTGTGACTCAGTATTATGCTTATGTGACTGAAAGGCAGAAGGTCCATTGCCTCAACACTTTGTTTTCCAGGGTACGTGCTGATCAACCTAAATCTTTTTGTTTTGTAGAGCCAAACTCTTCTCACCCTAATTCCTCTGGGCGTGTTTATTGTTTTGCAGCTCCAGATCAACCAGTCTATAATCTTCTGCAACTCCTCTCAGAGAGTGGAGCTTCTCGCCAAGAAGATCTCCCAGCTTGGTTATTCATGTTTCTACATCCATGCCAAGATGAGACAGGTCAGAACCGCATCGGCTGATGTTTAGTAAATGGAGCTCCTCACCTGCAGCATCCTACGTTACCATGGCAACCATGACGTGCTAAGAAGTTTTTCATGTTTGATTACTCAAGGGGGTCTAACTTGACTTTTTGCTCTTCAGGAACATCGTAATCGCGTGTTCCACGACTTTAGAAACGGCCTCTGCCGGAATCTCGTCTGCACTGGTAAGATGTGCTTTTGTGTTTCAGCTGCAGCTCAACTCTGGGGCTCAGATTATTGGTGTTCACTTCACAGGCCTTACTGCATCAGCTACACATACCTTTTAGTTTTATCTGACCTTACAGACCACTGGCGCTCGGTTTGGTAGCAAAACCTTTGGACCAGCATTTCTGATAATTATTCCATTTACTGACATGATTCGGTTGAGATGGTGAACCTTTGAAATTAAAGTATTTGTTGGATTGATTAGTTGTTTAAAGTAAATGCCTAGTTGGCAGCTTCAGCTTGAATTGGCCTCCAAACAATACCATTCATTTTCACACATGCTTTAAAAGCCGGTGTTAAAGTTCCACTCAGACATGTGCACCAACTCCGGTCAGGCATTTTTAAATTTCCAGAAACTTGCATGTCTGAATGAAGCAGGTTTCCATTGTGTGCTTGCCTGTGTTTTTCTTTCCACTTATCTTTAATCTGTAATGGGTGATTCTCGTAGTAAACGTAATATTTATAAACAGAAAGGTGCTCACCAGTGTGTAGGGATTTTAACCTACTATCTGGGTTTTACATTCCCGGGTATTTTGAAACCATAATCCCAAGTAGTATCAGAGTATAACAGGTATACAGTTGTGATATAAATGTATCCACCAATAAACATCTTGACACTACCGTCCAACCACGGCAGTGCATGAATGTCTTTAAGCTGCTTCACCTCTGGACAAACTCAAGACGCGGTTACTTAACTTATACGGACCGAATTTGGGTTAAAGGGGTCTGAGCAGAAAAACATTCTTAATAAAATATGTTGGGTGACCGTTAAGTCATATCTGTGTTAATGGCTCATTAACACCAATTCCCTTAAATACCGTTTGTTTTAGTGCATGATTAACACACAGGCTTCCAGATGTTTAGGATGTCTTTGAAAGCTGCTCCTCGCTCTTTTCGGTGCAGCCCGCGCTCACCGCGGTGGGTCAGCTGACCTGACCTTGGCTCGACGTGAGAAAGAAATTGGATAAACCTCCAACCTTATTTTATTTTAACCTTATTTTAATATTGACAAAAAAAAATGCATCATTTTACCTGCAGTTGTTCACTAGTGAAGCAACGCTTAACTTTGAGCAAAAGGACACAAAAAATGAATAAATCAGGAAAGCAGGAAGAAATGTTTAAATTTTTAGTTCAAACTATTTAGAATTTTGTGTTTTTATCACATTTAGCTTGTATCTTATTTAAAATATCCATGTTTATTTTGAGAATATTTGTGTTTTATTGTTTGAAACAAACAACAACAGCATAAAGATGTTTTGTATTGTAACTGGTGTTGATCATAAAATCTTTTAATGGGATTTTTAGAAGTATTTGTTCTGCAGCAACTCATCTGGTATGTGAGGATATGCAGAAACAGTCATGTTGACATAAATAAACAAAAATAAACAATACATTGCAATGTTTTGCATTACTGCACATGCCATTCCGACGGGGAGAAACCTTATGAGATCAACCTAATCGAGGAGCTGACTTTGAAGGGTGTGACTCAGTATTATGCTTTGGCCTGAAATCTATCGTGGTAGATTTCAGGCCACGTCGCCCTTTCCTAATCTCAGGTGACATTTTGTTTGTGGGAGCTGCTTTTACTTAGTTTCACAAACTGATATCTTTTCTGTTCTAGACCTCTTCACAAGAGGAATTGACATTCAAGCTGTGAATGTTGTGATCAATTTTGATTTTCCCAAGCTGGGAGAAACGTACCTTCATCGCATCGGTCGATCTGGTAAGGACGTGCGATCGTCTGTTTTTGGGAAATCTTTTTGGGACGGAAATGAACCAAATAAAAAAACAATGTTTTAATTTTAGGTCGTTTTGGACACCTGGGTCTCGCCATCAACCTCATCACGTACGACGATCGCTTCAACCTTAAAGGGATCGAGGAGCAGCTCGGAACGGAGATCAAGCCCATCCCTGGAATCATCGACAAGAGCTTGTATGTGGCGGAGTACCACAGCGAGGGTGGTGAAGAAGTCAAGCAGTGAGCCAGTAAGTTCATCACATTAATGTGTTCTAGATCCGTTAACGGACTCCTGAGTCAAACCAGTAAATGTTAAACTGGGCTTTGCTCACATTGGTGTCTGAATCCAGAAAGTCTAATGAAAACAAGCCTCAAATTTTTGAGTATAAACAATAGTTCTCTTGGATTTCTAAAGTTTTCTTTGAGCTTTGCTCAATTCTTTATATAGAATTTCTGTCGAGCCATTTCGAAGCCTATTGAGCAAAATTTTTTTCAAAATCCAGTGTTTTATCACCCAGCCCTGCAGTGAGGTGTGGACTCATAATAGACAGTCTATAAATAAATAGAAATTTTTGCAAAATCAAAAAGTTGGGAGTACAGAGCAAGAGTATTACTTCTGTGGATTTCTAAAAATAGTCTGGTTAAAATCTGCAGTTGGATCAGTGGAATGCTGGTGTGAATCCAGGAATGTTGTAACTTTAGATTTTCCTTTGTTTCCACAGATCAATCCCCCCCCCCCCCCTCCCCCTCCCCCAAACCCTCTTCAACCCTCGCCACCTTGGATTATTTTTTTCCCCGTGTACAGTTTCTTTCTGTCTTCCTGTTTTTGGATGCCACCAGTAGGAATGTTGTGATGGACGCTTTCTGGAAGAACTCATTTGCCTTATTTAAAGGCTTCGTGCTGCATCACAAAGGACTGAAGGCACGAGCACCAGGAGGAGAGCATGGGACCAAGTCAAAGGAAATCCGTGCAAGACGTGAAACCAGCACCAACAGACCTGAGATGCCACGCCCTCACCCTCCACCTTTTATTTAGAAAGTTTTAACAAATTTATATCAAGTGCCTTAACAAGCAGTTCAACTAAAGTAATAACCCTCCATTATCCACCATTTTTTCTCACTCCATACCACGCAGTCATGTTCACCTCGTAGAGAATTCAGTAATTTAACCGGAAAGGTGAATTCATAACTTATTTTGGTCCATTTGGGAGGGAAAAGAGTAAATTTGAAGGGAGCTGGTCTGGTTCATCAGGACTCATCTGTTGAGTTGAGGACAAACTTGGATTTTCACTGGACAGAGACTGGGTTTTTTCTTTGTTCTCCAAGAGACAGCCAGACTGTCCAGATGCTTGTGAAGAAGCTCGTGCTTCTAGAGACCCTGCAGCTGTCCTCCGTCTTCAGCGTCAGAACACTAAAAGTCAAAGAGCAGCCTGCTAACACCATGAGGATTCCTGTTTCAGTGCAGATTATTTGAAGAGAGCATCTTTTTCTCTGGTTTTTGTCTTGAGTTTCACACTCTTATGGATGGCCATACTTAATTCAGCTAGATGTGGGGGTGCTGCCTAATGTAAATACCTTCATTTTAAGATTGTTTTAAAAGAAAAAGAGTAAAACGGCCGGCCAACGAACTGGAAAGCTGCCCGCCCCCTTCTCTCACTCTCGTTAGCACGGAGGATCTTCTCAACTGCCGGTTTGTGCAAATTTGGCCCGAGGATTTATTTATAATTTTAAAAGGATTATAAAAAATCGAGCATGACTTTGTTCATGAAGTTATCAGTCGTTTTTCTTTTTAAGACTCCAAATTTGACGACGAGTGCAATTCTTCAACAACACAATTGCTGTTTAGTTCTTCTCGTGCTAGCAGTGTTAACGAGCTTCGAGTCCAGACGGGCGGCGATCCGACCTTCTGATGAATGAACTTTGCTACCAGCTTTGACTCATGAAGCTGGTGTTTAAAAGAAGCTACTAATCTGTCTTACAGTAATCGCTGCAGTGCAGCTGAATTGGCTGTTAAATTGTTTTTCTTGGGGAGATGGGGGGGGGGGGGGGGCATATTATCTGTTACTTAAATTTATGCTATGTTTAAGCTTCGCTATGAAAAACGTGTTTGCTGAAGCCAAGTTCTCCTTCCTTTTGGCAAGTCAGCCAAATGCTTCAAAACAGCATCAGACCTGAAATGTAGCAGGAAGTTAATCTGAGCTGCAGGTCAGCCGGCTGCCCTGAACCCGGTTGGCACAAGTCCCTAAAAAATGATACAAAAAAATCGCCTCAGCAGGTTTGGTTGCACTTAAAACCGGCTTCACGATGTCCAGAGAGGGAGGTCGTGGTGTAGTCCTGGGAAATGAAAATGGGCGAGGCAGACACAAACTCACTGCTTATTGAGCATCCCAGCCTCGTTCTGTCGTTACTTTGTGTTTTTGGGGTTTGGGTCATACTTTCTCCAACAGCCCATGTTTGCATGAAGGTTCTCTGAACATCAGCTAGAACCTTCCTGCCAGTTGGGTTCCCTCTTCATGGTGAGATGCTCTAATGTTCTAACCAATGAGGATAGTTAAATCAACCAAACGTTAAACGATCCCATCTCTCATTGGTGCGAGCTCAGATCCCTGTTCTCTCCCATCTGGTTGTCCCAGAAATGGTTCTGCATTTGGGTGATTTGGCTTTTGGGTGGGTGGGGTTCTCTAGAACAAAAACAAACTAAAAATGAACCAAAACCTAACGGAGTGAACAGGGGTCTCATTGTTCAGACACTTGGCAGCCGTCTGCTTCTTGTCGGCCGCTGGCAGAAATCTTCCTGATAAGTCGCGGCTTCAGTGTGGGTAGAGTTGCTGCCAGAGGCCGACAGGTGAACCGTAAAGACTGAGACAAGAGCATCTCGCCCGCTTCGGGTACTAATTGAGTAATTTATTAAACCAAATTGTCTCATTCTTTAAGGTCTTTTATTAAATTAGTCAGGTGGGTAATTTGGAACACTTGCTGCCCTGATGCACTGGTTCATCTAAACAGTTGGAACACAAAATCACAACCTTTGTTAATTCGGCCATCCTGTCACAACCCTGTCAGGATAACGAGTCCTTTTTAGGATTCCCTCAGGACTCAAGTGCATCAGTAAAGGAAAACTGGGATGGGCAGGTGGGCACTTTAAAACAAGAAAACCAATGTGAAGAAAAAAAAAGTCCAGTTTTGTTAATGGGTACAAAAATGTTCAAAAGAGTTGCCCTTAGATTTTTGTTTCTCAAATGTTCAAACAGGTACGTCTTCACCAAAAGAAACCCCCAAATTGAAGTGAATTTAACGCCTGTGTTCATTTAATTTGAGTTATAAATTGGCTAAAAGTTTTCAGTGATGCAAATTTTACAAGTGAGATCTGTCTTGGAAGTGATTGGGTTTAAAGTTTTGTTTGGAAAAATAAAGCTCACTGAAATTTACTGTCTGCAGTGTTTATTTGTGACAGCCAGGGGGCGCTGTGCTGCTGGACCTTTGAGCTTCTGTGTAAACTCTGACCTGAAGGTTTTTCTCAGATTGGTTTGACATCTCAACATGTTTTACTTGGTTTTCTGTGCAGTTTTGACTCTCCGCTTGTTCTTTGGTTACCTGTGAAAGGTAAAGTTTCTGTTTTCAATGTTAATTGGATCTTTTTTCCCTGAGCCTCAAACGTCGGTCCTGATCGTATACTTATGTCGATGGTCCTGATGTCTGAGTAGGAAATGGCTCCATGCTGAGCTGATCTCTAAAAGTAGCTGAACCTTATTTTTACTTAATATTTAACCTTAATTTTACTTACAATCAGAACATCTGTTCAGTTTGCTTAGTATTTTTATGCTTTTATTACCTGTTAATTATTTACAGCTGTTTTTAATGCTGTAAATTTCAGTCCAACCTGCATCAAAAAAAAAAAACTGATTAGAACTTAGTTTTCACTCGCATGGAAAATTCTTTATTGGTAAAAGGTCAATTAAAAAGAAAAACAAGTCATTAAAATGTTGAATTACAAAAAGTGCAGATTGGTCACCCGAAAGGTGTTTTTACACCTGGTTATTTCAGAACTTGTCTTTTCTCTTATTGCACATTTTTCCAACCAATTACCAAACAGATGAGAATATTTAGACATTTTCATAAATGGAGACTTGGAGGTGTTATGTCCATACATGAATATGTGATTCCTGTGTTCTTTACCAGTGGGCTCTACATTTTGATTGTCCAGCTGGAATGCTGATGGACAGCCGGAGGACGGAATGCCAGGTCGTCCTCCTGAGTCACTGCAGGGAGTAAATTGGCTAGATCCTCTTTGGCTGATTGGTTCAGGTTGTGGGTGGATGTGGTCCCTATAGATGGTGCTGTTGTTCAAAAATACGAAGGAAAAATATCCATGTAAGTTCAGAAGTATTAGCATTGACGGTTCTAGGGCGGGGCCACAGGTACCTTGGCTCCTGCTGAAGTGCCCGTGTCTCGTCACTCATCCGTTCTTTGTATGTAATCAGATTACAGGTTAGTGCAAATCCAAGTCCAGACACTACCAACGCTACTGAGCCAAATAGAAATGTGCAGCGTTAAGTCCTCCGTGTGAATGTTGGAATAATATATTGCAAAAGACCTGAAACCACTGAGTTTTTATTCCCTGAAGCCAGATGACCTTTGACCTGACCGCTCACCTCTGATGTGAGTTGGTCACTTCCCAGTAGGACCTAATATAAACACGATCTGTGTGACTATTCCCAGTCAGATCTGCTCTGGCTCCATCCTGCATCAGGTTCAAACAGCAAAACTCCCATACCCCCCCCCCCCGGTTGGTGAGAAGGCACTACAAACTCAAGACCTCGTTGTCCCGTTATACTGAGTCTTGTTTATTCTTCCCGCAGATGTTGTGTCTGCTTTTCCAAACCTTTCCCAAGCATTTCCAAATGCATCCATCCCACCTAGGGAGCTCCAGGAATTCCTCAACACACACTGAGAAAACAGGGACAGAGTTGGAGTCCTGGACGCCCGAGGACTGGCACGACAAGTGAGGTCCAGCCTTCCTACTCAGATCAGCGTTTTTTAAAATCATGTCTGTATTATGAGTGACTTCCAAACAGGCCCAAGTTCCTGAAGGGAATAGCAGATGATAAGCTGCAAAAATGGGGGGAGGAGATCCACAACCTGTGGAAGTCTCTCGGCAGGAAGGTGGAGATTTGAACTCAACTTGTCTAAAATGTTCCCGTTTCTGTTGCAGAGCTGAAAATGATGAGTTTTATTTTTCAGATTCGCAGCGACTTCAAAGATCACCCAGAGTTCTACTCTCAGATTTACACCCCGCATCCCATGGTGGTGCCACGAGGCCACTTCAGGGGAACCCGGTCGCTTCCATCTGATCCAGGCAGGGATCTCCTCTGAGACCTGGTTCCTGCTCTGTCCCAACAGGGACTCTTACTGGGTCATCAATGGCCTCCTGCTGTCTGAGATGACAAACACGGCCCACGGGATGATCCAGAACTTCCTCTACCTCGTCAACAGGTAAAGCCCGTTTTTCCTTTTACCACCAGAAGGCCCCTCACTGCAGGTGTTTCATTCAGCACCTGGAGCCGTCTGCCATGAAAATGGATCCCACAGGTGGGATTTGTAGAATAAAAGGTTTCCTCTCCCACAGATATGGCTTCGTTCCAAACGGTGGGCGGATTTACTATGAAAGGCGCAGCCAGTCTCCGTTCTTCACGCTGATGGTGCAGAGCTTCTATGAAGCAACCGAGGATAAAGAGTTCCTCAGGTGATGTTTAGGCCAAAGCCGATGTTCTGGCTGATGCCTTTGGGAATCTTCAGCTCCTCTTCAACTGAAAGGGGAACATTAAAGGTGTAAAGCTTGCGCCTCGCTGTAACCTCACACAATCTTCGGCAGAACCTGTAAAACAACAGAATCAGAATGCTGATTGTAAAAGAACCCATTCAAAACTAAATTACGTTTTTAGCTTTTTAAAGCAAAATTTGGTCTCATTGACTTCGTCTGTGTTACAGGTCCTTCTCAAAAATTTAGCATAATGTGTTAAAGTTCATTATTTTCTGTAATGTACTGATAAACATTAGACTTTCATATATATATTAGATTCATTACACTCAACTGAAGTAGTTCAAGCCTTTTATTGTTTCTAATATTGATGATTTTGGCATACAGCTTATGAAAACCCAAAATTCCTATATCAAAAAATTAGCATATCATGAAAAGGTTCTCTAAACGAGCTATTAACCTAATCATCTGAATCAACTAATTAACAATAAACACCTGCAAAAGATTCCTGAGGCTTTAAAAAAAAACCAGCCTGGCTCATTACTCAAAACCTCAATCATGGGTAAGACTCCATGCTGTCGTTCTTTCTTTAAAACACAGAAACCGTTTCGTTACCTGGTTTTCGACTACGTTTCGTCAGCGGCTGCAGACTTCCTCAGGCTGACGCTGATGGTGATGTCACTTCCTTCGTTTATCCGTGGGCAGCAGAGGACGTTGTCGCCCTCTGCTGCCCGCTCTCCCCTCTCCGACGATGCAGTCCCATGCGTGGTCCAACGTGTAAACTCCATCGTCTCTGTTCATGGTCCCACATCCACGTCTCCTTATCTCGATTGCTTCTTTCATCCATCTTTTGTATTTCTGTTGTTCGGTGTTTATGATCCTTGTGTTGTCCCAGTCCATTATATGGTTTTCTCTTGTGCAGTGATCTGTTACGGCTGACTTCTTTATTGTACTTTCTGCTGCTTGTTTTGCTGCTCTTGTGTGTCTTCGACTTGTTTCTCTCTCGCACTCCTTTCTGTGTTCTATTGTTCGTGTGTTGAGTTGGCGTCCGGTTTCTCCTATGTATGTATGTTGCTATAAAACATACAGTTGAACCTAATTACTTCAAATGAACTCCATATATATGACAGTTACATCTAAATATTAAGATTAAAATTTAAATACCAAAAATTAAATATTTAGAATTAGGTTCAAACATAAAATATAAAATCTAAATATTCAGATAAAAATCTGAAAAGGTCAAGTTAAGTCTAAATATTTAGAATTTAGCCGAAATACAAAAGTAAAGTTACATCTAAATGTGTGATCCAAATTTCTAAATGTGGTGGATTTGACATAACATTTACATTTAAGCTTCTTGGAAATTGAAGTAGCCACAATATTATTGTGCTTTTAAAATGATACATTTTTTTTACTTGATATATTTTTTCAAAATCCTTTTTTTAACATAGATTTTTGAGGTAAATGTGTTAAATTCTGTGTTAATTTTTTATCTCATTACTTTACTAACAAACAACTTCTGTTATTGTGTTTAAATGCCCACCCAGAGAGGCTTTGCCCTTTCTCGAGAAGGAATACCAATTCTGGATGCAGACTCGCTCCGTGGCGCTGAAAGTAAACGGATCGGAACACGTCCTGAACCAGTATTCCGTGCAGGTGGGCTTCCCCAGGTATGCCTGCAGTAAACATGAAAACAAATGAAAGATGTGAGTGTTTTCACCCACATTTCCCGAGTTCTTTTCCTTCCAGGCCTGAATCATATTCAGATGACGTGGAATTAGCTGAAGGACTCTCTGATGGTAATGCATTATTAAAGTTATTAATCTGCACGAATCCTCGGCAGCGAGTGTGAGATTCATGGTCGGAGATGCTCTGTGGTCTCATAATTACTTTCCTTTAGAAAACTGTAATACAAAGATTCAAGAATCATCTGTGGGAAACTAATTAGCTCTGAAAATACCTCAACACCGCCACCCAGTCATAAAGAATTTATGATGAGAAAACATTCATTCTGTGAGCTGGCTTGGAAAAAAATGCAGCTTGAAGAGAAAATATGTGAAAGCTCTTTGGCACCAGGAAGTTTTGTTGTTATAAGTCAACATTTGTTTTCTATTAATGTTTTAATGACTTTGATGATACTTCTGTTTTTAATGAAATGAACCCAACCAGTAGCTTTGAAGTCTGGACCAACCGTAGCCATAGCAAAAACATTTAGCTCTGCAGGTCTAGTCACGCTCCATTGGGGCCCCAGCTTCTCTTCCATTGGCCCAATCAGTTTTGTTTCTGGCCAATCACAGCGCTCTGTTTGTTGGGAGGGCTTAAAGCTGCGATGGAGAAAATCCACAAACATGGCGTCTGCTCGGGAACAAAGTTTGTTTGAAACGGCTTTGGCGTCAATTTTGAACGATTTAGACTTGAGCTTTACTTTGAGACTTGAGCAGGTAGAGTTAGAAGTAGAAACCTTTTATTTAGAAAAATAATGTATTTTCTTCATTATTGGTGTATGGCAGACTGCCCTGTTGACTGATTGCTGTAGCCATGATTACATCACATTGGTCATTGCACCTATTGGTCCTAGTGCTGTCCAACTGCATGTGGAGACAATTTGAAAAGATAACCGTAGAGACCCCACCACCACCACCACTGAGTTTTTTTCTGCAGGATGAGGTCAGACTTTGTGTTACATACATACTATGGCTTGCCAGTCTACTAAACCAGCAGATTGGGGACTCATTTCAGACTTTTAAAGAGTTGTTTTGTCCAATTTTAAGTATTTCTGTGTAAAAAAGTTAGAAAGTCACCCCTTACTGATCGATATGTCAACGGCTAGTCTAAAAATAGCCAAGATTACTATAAGTGTTGCTGATGTATTGTGTAAAACACCAGTCTGGTGCAAAATCAACAATAGTGTAAAGGTTTAAAACATTTATTGCAGGAAATGTGAAATTTTGCAGAATGATCTGGCTGCTCATGAAGCTCATGAGTTGAAGTGAACACAAAACTGGTATGCTAGTCCTAGTTCTGAGTAGGTGTTAGCACATCACTCCTGAAATAATCTATTTCCTGAAACTGAGGTTGTTCAGAAAATTACTTTTTACATTTCAGACTAAAAACACTTAAGATAAGCGTAAATATTCCTTTAGCAAATTGAACTAATTATGCACACATTTTCTGAATTTTAAAAGCAGTTTTTTCATGATGTTCACCTTTGACCTCAGAGCACAAAGCGCAGCTGTGGATGGATATGACAGCAGGTGCAGAGTCTGGTTGGGACTTTATTTCCCGCTGGTACATAGACGCTGATGGCCACAACAACAGCACTCTCAGGGAGACTCAAACCAGCCAGATCCTGCCCTCTGACCTCAATGCTCTGCTGTGCCGCTGCGAGAAAACGCTGGCGTCGTTCCATCGGCTGCTGGGTGAGAAGGCGAACAGCCTCTGACCTTGGAGATGAAATGCTTTTAGCTACTAATGTGTTACGTAACAGTGATGTGCTGCTTCCTGACAGGTGGTGGTGACTCAGCTGCTCGGTACCAGCAGATCGCGGCCCGAAGGATTAAGGCGATGGAGGATTTGTTGTGGGATGCTGAAAAGGGGGCGTGGTTTGACTACAGCCTGGTAACACACTCCAAGCACTTTGAGTTCTACCCGTCCAACCTGGCACCAGTTTGGGCTCAGTGCTATTCTCACCCTGAGATGGCTGAGAAGGCGGTTCGTTACCTGGAGGTTGGTTGATGCTAGAAGCTTCACATTGAATTTAGCTCTATATTAGAAAAAAAAAACACTCAAAATGTGTTAAATTAATAACAATTTACAGCTTAGTTTCACACTGAAGCAGCTGTATTGCTGTACTTTTTAACAACAGTTTCACTGGAACGGGATGTGAATATTTTTATGCAGGTTGGTCAAATGAAAGTTAGAATATGAAACATTTTAATGAAAAGCTATGTTAAAAAATACCTCCATGGATCGTTCAGAGATGTGCAGAATTAATGTACAGTTTCTCCTTTTAACGCTATATTTAAATTTTTTTATTCTGTTTGGGCACAACACTGTGTTTATGTTTACATCTACCTGCCACTAGAGGGCACCGTTGCGCTAAAAAGTCCACTCAGCAGGGCGCGGTTGGGACTGTGTAAAATGGCAGACTTGACAAGTCAAGAAGCTTTTTCGGATCCCAGAAGATGTTCTAATGGGAAATACAGTTGTAAAATAAACTTATTAGTAGTCCTTACGCTGTACGATTTGTCTCTGAACATGGTGCTGGAACGCGTCATCAGTCAACCAACATCCCAGCAGCTGGAAAATTAGTCCAGTTGTTGCAAAACCACCGGTGAACGCCAGAGTTTGCCCAATTGTTTGTGTTCCACAGTCAACCTTTAACTCACCTTGAAAAAAATATTTAGAATGGCAAATCAGATTTGTTTGTGGGAATCAAAAAGTAGAGAGAAAACCTTGTCTTCATGGGTGTGACCCCGCGAGGAAAGTTGACCATTGAGCAGGATTGATGGTTTATCCCTTGAGGTTCATGTGGCAGGGGTGAGGAGTGAGCACTACCTCACCCCTGCCACGTGGTCTCAAGGGATATACCATCAATCCTGCTCAATGCTCAACTTTCCTCGCGGGGTCACCCGTGAAGACAGTGGGAGGGTTAAAAATAGTTACATTTCATTGTAATGCAATTTTTAACATTAATTTTATGTTTAGATAGCAAAAAAACCATTAAAAACTCTTAAAATTAGTAAGTTTGTTTTACTTAGCCCCTTTCAAAGGCAAAGTCACAAAGCGCTGTGCAACACGGATTACATTTAATTTAATTGATCGGAACTATAAAATTAGCATTAAAAAGCATAATAAATATGAGTAGTGAAATAAAGTAGTCTGTAGAGTACACACAACAAGGTTGCTGTGAAAAAAAATTCTGTATAGGTAATCAACCACTTTTAAAAATGTTTTACACAATATAAATCTACTATTTTTATTTTAGTAAGTGAGGAGTAATTTGATTACATACATAGTAAAAAAATCTAAGAAATTGCAGTCCAAACAATACAAAAATCATATAAAATACACCATTAGATGAAATAAAACATAATAAAGCTGAACATCTTAACCTAAAAAGCCAATCTGTATTTATTTTTATTTATCAATTAAAGGCACAGTGTGTAATATTTTTATTTGTTTACTATCAAACAACAACAAACGTGTCCTTTTTTCTTAATATTTCTTATCAAAATATGTTCTAATTATTTCTATTGGCCTGGAATTTTATAATTTTACATACATAAACAGTGGTCGACGCTTCATAGTCATGCGCCATCTTGAAATACTGCAGCTTTTTAGGGACATATAAGATATAATGCTTTGCATTTTGCATTTGCGCTTTGAAATGAAAGTTCCCCTCCCTCTAAATGCTATGAGAAGGTGATGCCAGTTCTCTCTATGACAGCCTGGTTGGTTTTGGGAAATTCTGCTCCTTACCCTTGGGTTGCTTGCCCTGCTGTACATGTGATTGTTGGATTAAAAGCAGGGAGTCATTTATAACTGTGGCGATAGCGCACGGCCGCGGGGGTGAGGGAGATAAGTGACTCAGCAGATGCGTTAGATGCGACAGCACTGGAGCGATCAGTCACAGGACATGGACGGAGGGCTCTCTAATCTCTGAGAGAGGCGCTGGCTGAACGAAGCAGCAGAAACGGTGAATAAAAATGTCTGAAAGCTGGTGTGTGATGTTTTCACAATGCCTTCTTGAAGCGTGTGGGCTACAATAGCTGCAAAACCCACTCTGACCCAATCCCAATACTCGCACTGTGCCCTACGGTCGTCTGTGAAGTGCACTTGGAGGACGTGAGGAGTAGGGCTTTGGGTGCCTGGTACACAAGTGTGCAAATAATTGCCAAATTGTGACAGGGAGCATTGTGTCATCGACCGCAACACATTCTGGGATGCTGGTCGCTGTGTTAATTTTTAACAAAAAATCTTTATCAACTTTCACACAAACAACCAATTATTTGTCAAAATTGACATTCGTTGCTGTCAACATTAAATCTTTGTCTAAAACATTCAGAGTACAATTAATCACTTAATTTTCTCTCACAGCAGTGTATCGTGGGTAATAGCCTACGCAAAGTGTGGATCAACTGTGAAAAAGGGGTGTGGTCAACTTCCGCCCTACACACTTGCACCCCTGGACGGGACTGTGCAACTGAAGAGTGCAAGTGTGGAAGTGCGAGTATTGGGATTGGGCCTAAATCAAACTGGTCACCTGCAGTACTCACATTCTCCACCAGGGAGCAGAAGACAAATAAAGGTTCTAATAAAGCAGTTTTTTGGGGAATGCACTAATCCTGTTAAAGAGGTAGAGGTCTTAAACACTTAGAAATACTCATCATAAATATGAAACATTTGGCGATAGTTAACAGCACTTTTCAGCCATTTTTAAGCATGTTTCTTTGCAAAAGATTTAAATACTTACTAGCTAAGATGTTTATCATCATTTTTGATGTTATCTAACAAGGTGCTAATTATTTATTTCGTCTACACAGAAACATATTTCAGAATGATTTTGGGAACATTGAGTTGATTAATTTTGTTATAAGCTATTTAGAGGATGATGCATCCATGTTCAGCTGTTTCTAAGTAAAACCTGATTGCTTCACAATATGAAGTATCTTTGTCCAGACTGAAAATAGCCTTCAACTCAGTTTTCTTACACATTTAGGCAAGGCAGCTTCATTTATATAGCACATTTCATACACAGAAGCAATTCAGCAAGAAGCTAAACTATTAAACTCAACATGACAAAATGAAACAGCAGATTTAAATACACAAATCAAATTAAAGACATAGTTAAAGGGTGAGCAGTTACAGTGCAGAAGGTGCAGCATAAGAAACATTCATTCAAAGATGATTACATGAAAGTTTTCAGTTTTGATATAAAAGTTACCGGTTGGTGCACATTCGAGATCACAAGGAAGCTAATGCCATCTGTGTGCTGCATAGCCGCTAAAAGCAGCTTCTCCCTGTTTGGTTCTGACCCGGGTTCTACAAGCTGACCATTTCCTAAGGACCTGAGAGCCCTTCTGATGTATAAACTACAAGGAGGTCCAACATGTATTTTGGCCCCATTCCATTTACAAAATAAATACATTTCTTAGTCATCAACATTTGTTATAGCTAATAAAACCATAGCAGCTTCTCTCTGAGAGATGAAGGCGGAGAGGTGAAGTGGGAGCTGTGAACCTCCTCTTCCTGAAGACTGGTGCTGGTGTTGACCAGCAGATGGCACACACACACCACTGAGGTTTCAAGCTCCTGGTTGATGCTCTCGTTTCTGTTTCTGCTCCTGCTCAGGGCAGCGGTACTCTCGAGTTCCCCAACGGAGTCCCGCCGTCTCTGAGGGAGTCCGGGCAGCAGTGGGACTATCCCAACGCGTGGCCTCCTCTGCACCACATGCTGATAGAAGGTGGGCAACAAAATCCTCTGATGGTTTCCTTGGAGATGATTCAGCGTTTTTCCAGCACAATTTTATGAAAACTGATCAACAAGGTGAAATTAGTTGATGTATTTTCTCCAGGTGAGAACTTGAGAACTGTATTTGGCCTCTCCTACCATCTCAGTTTTAATTTGGGGGAGTTTCCTCCCTCATGAGACTCACAGCTGGAGGGACTGCTTCCTGTCAGCGCTTTCATTTTTCATCCGGCATCTTCCTCGGTGTGATGCTCTGATGGGCCTGTGCTGCATTGCTCTCTGTTTTTTTCCTTGCTTTAGGGCCTTTTTGCTTTCAGTTTGGTGTTCATGAAGTGAAAAACATGCTCAGCTGCATTGAAATCAGGTAACAGATTGGATCAGTTAAAAAAATAACGCTAGAGGGCCAGAAAAAAAAACCTTCCTGCTGTCTAGTAGCCTCTGTGATTGACACTTTGTTTTCTGTGCTGCTTTGTGTTAAAATAACAACAAACTTTTATTTGAGAGGGTTTTCTTTTTCCAGGTTTATCCAAACTTCCTTCAGACGATGCCAAGCAGCTAGCTTTTGATTTGGCCCAGCGTTGGATCAGGACGAACTGGCTGGCCTACATAAAGTATGAAGCCATGTTTGAAAAGGTGACTCTTTCAAAGCTTCCGAAGCTTCGTGTCGCTCCGAGACTCCAAATCTTTAATCTCCAGCGTCCACCCCTGACAGTACGACATGAACGGAGATGGAAAACCCGGCGGTGGAGGAGAATACGAAGTTCAGGTGTGAACTTTTTATCTGTTAAAGCTTTTAAAACCAACGTGATTTCATGGATGTTTCAATGTTCTTTTCACAAAAGTAGAAGCAACTCTTTCTGTTTCTCCTCGCTGCAACTGGGTTTCGGTTGGGCCAACGGCGTGGCCCTGCAGCTCCTGGATCAGTACGGGGCGACTCTCTCCTCAGGAGGCAGACGTGTCTGCTCTGACCTCAGGCTGCCTCTGGCCGTCTCAGTCGCTCTCATGCTCCGATGAATCCGAGGTGTCAAAAGGGCTGAGCTTTATTTTTCCTGCGTTCTCTCCACTTCTCCCGCCTCTTCTGCTGCTACAGAGAAAATCAAACCCATGAAACTCAAAGGAAAATGTTCAGTTGCGATGAGAAATGTGAATTTTTCGGTATTTTTGCACTGAGGTAAATGATGGAGGATCATTTAGGGGCTTTTCTGCAGCTGAAATCGCATTAAATTGCTCTTGAAGTTGATCTAAGATTATTCGATTATTTTAATCCTAAGGGTTAATTTTACATTCTTAGTACAAACTAAACTGAAGTATTCCAACCAGGAAATGTTAGATCACAGAGAGAATTTTATATCAAAGTGATAAAACACATAAAAACTGTGTTGACAGAAGGTCGAGAACGGAAACCTTTTCACTCTCATTAAATGCGGAGCTAAAAGTGAGTGGGAATTAATTTCCCTTAAACATCGGAATGACCTTTGGACCGCTTTCAGAACACACGTCACAAGAGTGGAAGCTGGACTGAAAATAACATAAAATGCAGAAATAACACGTCCGCTCGGTGTTAAGTGGACTCCTACGATGGAAAAGGGTTTTCAGAATAAAATAATGATCGTTCATCCCGAAGAGCTGTTTGCTTTTGGGAAACGCTGTTCTGAGGAAATATGCAAGAAAAAAAATCAGAATATGACCAATTTAGGTGGTTTTTTTTTTTTTTTTTTTTTGGTTTATGAACTAATAAGATGGAAAGACTCATTTGTCCCTGCAGTTGTTTCTATCACTGTGCCATTGAGAGCATCCTCACTGGATGCATCACCACCTGGTATGGCAAGAGCACCGCTTACAACCGCAAAGCTCTCCAGAGAGTAGTGCGGTGTGCTGAAAGGATAATTGGAGGTGAGCTTCCCTCCCTCCAGGACATCTACAGGAAGCGGTGCCTGAGGAAAGCGGAGAGGATCATCAAGGACTCAAGTCACCCCAGCCATAAACTGTTCAGACTACTTCCATCAGGAAGGAGGTTCTGCAGCATCCGGTCCAGAACCAGCAGACTGAGAGACAGCTTTTTCCATCAGGCCATCAGACTGCTGAACACGGCGCAGACACCTCACCCTCACTACTGAAACTCCAACATTACACACTCCATACTGTACATGAATGCCACTGTTTTACACATACCAACCACTGTATATTTTATACTGTAAATCCTCTAATACAGGCCCGGGCCTGTATTTGACTCATGCTCATCAAGCTCCAGGCCTTTATTGGAAGGAGGGCCAGTATTAGAGGCAGGCCTCTATTTCTATTTGAGCAAAATGAACTAATGGTTCACTGGAGTTTTTGACAATTAAAATTGCGCCCACATTTTCAAAGTTAAACACATTTCTTTTAACAACGGTAGTTTCTGCTTCAGCCCTCTTCCCCCTCCCCCTGCGCAGCGGCTGCAAACTCACTGATGCGCCTGCAGCCTCTCGGAGTTCCTGCTGCTCTAAACATTAAAATAATTATTTCATTTTCTGTTCCTCACTTCTGATTACCTCAATGGTGTTTGTTTGTTGCAACAGCAGGTACAAAAACTAACTTGTTTTTATTTGACTATTTTTCTGTCCTGTCTGTTTATTATCATCCTGCATCTCCTCTCAATCCTAAAGAAAAACTGCTACCTGGGTTCATATATATATTCACCTTATGAGTTACCTTTGAACTGCAGTTCTAAAAGAGCTACCGACCGCAAAAACAGTGGAGCGCTCCCTGCTTGGCGGCCGTATCATACAGTCCGAGCAATAAACGCGGAAGTTAGATCCAAACACCCGTTGTGTGGGAGAAGCATCGAAATGAACTGTTTAATCTGCCCATCATTTGTGTTGAGAGATCAGCAGTGTTTGGATCAACAAAGGGCGACTACTTTGACAGTAGAAACTGTATTTATGGCTTATTTTTGTGCATTTAAAGTTCAGCCGCCATTGATAGTTGTTAAAAGTTGTTAAACCTGTGCATATGAAACAAAAAACGCCTTTTGTTTATCGATTTATTGTGAAAAAAAGGAAGTTGTGCTTGCTCCTTTTCCTGTTGGGCGGTTGTGATTTCTGTCCATTGACTGCGGAGGTGCTCCGGCGAAAATAGGATCGATTCTATTTTTGCCGGACGCCGGAACAGAGGGCGGCGCACGGCGCCGCACTGCCGGAGCACGGCCGCAGTAGTAGAATTGCTCTGATTGACTACAACGGGACCGATTTTGCTCCGGCGTTTGTGTCGGAGCGGAGCGGAGGTAGTGGAATTTGCATCGGAGGACAAGGTGATGCGCGCAGCGCCCCGCTCCACAGCATGCAGCAAAACGCATCAGGCGCAAATAAAAGACAGAAAACATTAAAGGAAATGAACTGACATGAACGATCGTGTGTTAAATTAGTTTTTGAGGTGGCGACACCTGATTGTGGCTGTGCTCAGGAGGCAGATCTACCGACCGCGAAAACAGCGGAGCTCTCCCTGCTTGGCGGCCGCATCAGTGATCTGTGAGTCGGAGGACAAGGTGATGTGCCCCGCTCCACAGCAGCGAAACACATCAGGCGCAAATAAAAGACAGAAAACATTAAAGGAAATGAACCGACATGAACGATCGCGTGTCGGTACCTATGCTCTGACACAGCGCGTTGCCCCCCTGAGCGCAGGAGCTTGTCACCTGCTGACAGCAGGCTGCTGTCTTTTCCGAGGGCTGCATCTTGCCGGTCATTATCACGTGACAGCGACTAGTCGACGACAGGCATAAAAAGTCACTATAGTGAAGTCGACTAGTTCATACAACCCCTGCTACTGCTCCCCAGAGTGTTCTGCAGCATAATCAGCATGTTCTCTTTGAACTTGATAGTGTAATGACCTGGCTGGGGTTGTAAGCCAGGTGCATTCTGGGTATTGTGTTATATGTGTTTCCTATCGTTCTGCTAGTTCCTATGTGCTGATTTGCGTGTTGTGTGAGTGTTATGTAAGCCACAGGGAAGGTGATGTGTGTTCTGTGGAGTGGGTTGAATTAGCATGGTTAACTGACACCGTGACTCTGTGTGGTAGGAGCATGATAGAGGATCGTGTCTGTAGCTTTACAAAGCGTTGTAAAAAAAACCTAGTAAAGGTCTGTGTGAACCTCTACTGTCTCCTGCTGGTTCATTTGGGGACTATAACCCTGCCGCTGAGAAGCTCGTGTTTACCTGTTACTGCATTCCACCCGGCCACAATAAGAGACCGGCCATTATTTACCTATGCTGACTCCGCTCCGGCCAAAAATTGGAGACCCGGCCTTTAATTGAATACCGGCCTGTATTAGAGGATTTACGGTATCTTATTTTATTGTTTACTTTATTCATTTGTAAAACATGTATGTACGCACTATACACACACTCACACGCACACACGTAGAAAAAAAATTAGCACACACATTTAGTTATGTATATACCTTACATACTATACATATTACTTAGATTAGCCATTTTTTTTATTTTGCTTGTTTTTACGTTTTTGTATTTTTGCACAACTCTGTTGCTGTGAAGCTCGCACACAAGAATTTCACTCGCATGTACTGTATCAGTGTACCTGCACATGTGACGTGACAATAAAAGTGATTTCATTTGGTTTGATTTGTTTTCCTTTTGGATCACCTGCTGGGATTTCATGTATTGTTTTTTCCTACCAGCTGTGAAACTAATTTCCCAGAGGGAATAACTTGAATTTGAACTCATCACGACCAACGGAGACCCGATGAAGTGCTGATATGTTGAAACATCTGAATCACAGGTTTTAGAGCAGCATCTTCGGAGGTGAGATAAGGGAAGGTGCTGCACAATGGCATTTGTTGCACTGTTCCCTTGCAGCAAGAAGGTTGCAGGTTTGAATCCCTGCCTTTAATCCTCCTACCTTCCTCCCACAGATCAAAACCAAGCTAATCACTTTGTGGAGAAGCATATGCAAGATGAATAAACATAAAAGGAATATAGCAAAGTTTAAGTGATGTTTATTACAAGCTAGAAAGAATACGATCTTATGAAGCGCCTCACAAGATAAAAATGACAAGGCGCTTCACAAAACCAAAAACCAAACAAACATTATGGTATAAAAAGATTTAAAAATGATAAAAAATATGTTTAAAAGAAGAGAAAATAAATGTAAGGAAGGGAAGAGAGAAAATTAATAGGAAAATCAATGGATCCCGGGAAAGGCGGAATAAGAAGGAGAGGGTGGTGATCTCCCACTGGTCTCAGGCTCAGAGGGGTAGAGGTCCAGAGGCTGGGGGCCACAGCAGCAAATGATCTGTCATCTTTGGTCTTTAGCCTGGTGCTGCACAACAAGTAGGCTTTGGTCACTGGACCTCAGAGACCTGCTGGGGGTGCAGGGACTGAGAAGATCACCAATGTATGATAGGGCTTTTCCATGTAAGGCCCTAAAAACCAGAACCAGGATTGACTGGCAGCCAATGAAGCTGGAGGAGAAGTGGGGTGATGTCTTCTAGCCAAGACATTCTCTGCTGTTTCCTGGACACTTGACCAACAACAGCCTTCCCCGTCACGAGTCAAGTTGGGTGAGTCCATGAAAGTGATGTGTGACGTAGATCTGTCCGGCTTTTCAAATCCTAGAGTTTCCTCATCTATTTCCTATCAGAAGCTAATGCAGGAGATAGGTGTAGAAGACTGTTTCATGTTCTCCTGGCCTCTACAGCGAAACAAATAATTTACGTGAGCGTTGACCAATAGATTTGCATATCTACAAGAGGGAGCTCTCAATGAATCAAAGGATCCAGCACGCTCTACGAGGTGATGCCAGAAGACGCTGGAGGTTTCTTTAAAGGAAAAACCATACATTCATTCTGCACACCTCTAAACTCCTTGTGGATGTGTTATTGTTCAAAAATATTGCTTTTTTATTTAAAATGTTCCACATTCCACCTTTAATAGAAAACGTTAGGAAGCCAGGACAACGTGAGATCCGTCTTAACTAAAATTATCACATCAAAATATGAAAATAGTTTAAATTGCTGCCATAGGAGTTCTAGAGTTAAGGCCATACTCTGTAAATTCTTCATATTTTAAATAGTTTTCATGAGCCGACATGCACTAAAACTATCCTTTACAGGGTTGATAAGTCACTCAGACCCCCAACGCCCTCTGTAGACAGAATACCGTACTTACAACTTTAGAGTGGTGGGCCGCCTCCTGTTGGACTGCAGCACCTGACATATCTGGTGCTGCAGTCTGTTT